TAAGGTTTTATCAAAAACATCCAAGTATCTCCTGGGCAATGTCCTTGCAGATGGCCAATTCTCTCACACCAGAAGCGACTTGCAGTTTCTCAAGTTGCTCATGACACGAAAAAAAGCTGCTTTGAAAACATCCCTTTTTCTCTCCTTTTTCCACTTTACCTCTTTGCCCTCAGTTTATTCCAATGGCTGAAAAATGTTAAAATGTACGTTTTCCAAGCTGTTCTTGAACATCGCAAGATGCATATATACACTATGGAATTAATGCAGTTTTAATCTACGTTAACTGCCATGGTTGAATGCTATGAAATTCTGGGAGCTGTAGTTTGGTGGGGAACCAGTCGCCTTTAGCAGAGAGGGATCAAGGCCTTGCAAAACTACAACACCCTTGATTCCATTGGATTGAGGCATAGCAGTCTGTGGGTGCATCTACACTATATAATAAATGCAGCTTGACACCACCATAACTGATGTGGAGTTCTAAGGTCTTTTTGCCGTCTCTGCCAAAGAGTGCTAGTGCCTCAGCAAACTACAACTCCCAGGACTCCATAGAAGTGAACTATGACAGTTCAAGTGGTATCAAACTGCCTTCCCTCTACAGTGGGGACACGTCCTTGGCAATCGGTCCCATAGTTAATGCAGATATGCAAGTATTTTGAGTCATGAAAGTTTAAATTGGTGTCAAACTGCATTCATTCTTGAAATGCTGATGGAAGGGATGCCCTCACTACCTGCTATTTCTTTTTCAGTTTCTCCTATGACTGAATGTAACCCTTTGTGGGGGAAGAATCCACTCTTACTTTCAGTGGGTTGTTGCTAATTTTAGAAGTTCATCCCCTCCACAAAGTGCAGCCGCCCCTGTGATTTCCTCTGTGACGCAGCTGCTCCGTGGTGGCACATCTTGGCGCACCGTGTGGGTTGGTTGTTGGTTCCATTTCCCCCGTGGTTTTCCCTAAACCACCTCATCCACATCGAGGTCAATGGTAAGTTCACCCGATTCTCATTTCCATGCTGGGCCCCACGTTGTGACATTTCATTGTGGGTTTTTATCACCACTCAACATTTGTGGCGAGACACCTCGGTTAGACATCTTTCACCCATTTCCCCATATCCGAATGGGTTGATAGAATCACAGAATTCTAGAGTTGGAAGTCACTGTGTCCAGAGGAGGGCGACTAAAATGATGAGGGGTCTGGAGAACAAGCCCTATGAGGAGTGGCTTAAGGAGCTGGGCATGTTTAGCCTGAAGAAGAGAAGGCTGAGAGGAGATATGATAGCCATGTATAATATGTGAGGAAGCCACAGGGAGGAGGGAGAAAGCTTGTTTTCTGCTTCCCTGGAGACTAGAACACGGAACAATGGCTTCAAACTACAAGAAAGGAGATTCTATCTGAACATGAGGAAAAACTTCCTGACTGCAAGCCGTTCAGCAGTGGAACTCTCTGCCCCGGAGTGTGGTAGAGGCTCCTTCTTTGGAAGCTTTTAAATAGAGGCTGGATGGCCATCTGTCAGGGGTGATTTGAATCTTGGCAGGGGGTTGGACTGGATGGCCCATGAAGTCTCTTCCAACTCTTTGATTCTATGATTCTAAGTGAACCCAAGGGTCATCCCATCCAAGTCCATTCTGCCTGGCAATAAGCCTCAATCCAAGCACTCCTGATAGATGGCCATCCAGCCTCTGCTTAAAAACCTCTCAAGAAGACTCCACCAGACTCCTCATAGATTGCATACCCACTGTCAACAGTTCTTACTATCCTAATGTTGAGGTGGAATCTCTTTTGTGATGTAATTTGAATCCATTGCTCCGTTGTGTCCCAGTCACTAGAGCAGGGGTCCTCAAACTTTTTAAACAGAGGGCCAGGTCACAGTCCCTCAAACTGTTGGAGGGCCGGATACGCTTCTCAGAGAGCTTGGCTTCCAAACCTTTCCCTGGACACCTTCTATCTTGTCCATCTCCTTTTTGAATTGTGTTGCCCAGACCTGGACACAGTGTTACTCTAGGTCAGTGGTTCTCAACCTGTGGGTCGCCAGATGTTTTGGCCTTCAATTTCCAGAAATCCTAACAGCTGGTAAACTGGCTGGGATTTCTGGGAGTTGTAGGCCAAACACCTGGGGACCCACAGGTTGAGAACCACTGCTCTAGGTGAAGTCTGACCAAAGTAGTCAGACTATGACTTCGACACTAAATGCCTATTAATACAGTCGAAAATTGCTGCTGCATCACATTGTTGACTCACGTTCAGCTTGGGATCTATTAAGACACCAAGACCACCTTCACTTGTAATGTTTTCAAGCCAGGCATCACTCATCCTATATCTGTGCATTTCATTTGTACTGCCAAAGTGTTTTGTATTCTTGTAATGTGAATCCTACAGTAAAATGGCTGAGAGGAGATATGATAGCCATGTATAAATATGTGAGAGGAAGTCACAGGGAGGGAGGAGCAAGCTTGTTTTCTGCTTCCTTGGAGACTAGGACGCAAACAATGGCTTCAAACTACAAGAAAGGAGATTCCATCTGAACATTAGGAAGAACTTCCTGACTGCGAGAGCCGTTCAGCAGTGGAACTCTCTGCCCTGGAGTGTGGTGGAGGCTCCTTCTTTGGAAGCTTTTAAACAGAGGATGGATGGCCATCTGTCAGGGATGCTTTGAATACAATATTCCTGCTTCTAGGCAGGTTGACCTGGATGGCCCATGAGGTGTCTTCCAACTCTATAATTCTAATGAGGTGATCTCCCCCACAAATACAAAAGGACACAAAACAGCTCTTCACAAAAGCATGTCAGCATGACATAAAACTCAATTTCTTGCTCCATCTTGGTTTTCTCCTCCTTCGTTCTTAGACTGCTATGAAAAAGCAAGAGTGCAAAGATCTATGGCCACTCTTTAAGGCATATGGAAGATTTGCAATACCTTTTGTGACACATTTGCTAGTGGTAGGACTCCAGGGCCCCCGGAAAAGTTTGCAAATAATAATAATAAACTATGAACACCTCCCTAGAAATCTCGAGGCCCTTCAACACAATTCTGTGGTCAACTTCTGCCAGGAGCTGACTAGATTCCTAGAGGTGTTCTTTCTACATTCTCTATATCAGGCATGGGCACATTTGGACCCTCCAGGCTGTTAGGAATTATGGGAGTTCAAGTCCAAAACACCTGGAGTCTGAAGTGTGCCTATGCCTATTCTAGACATCTCAAGGTTCTCCAACATGTTGACCATAAACTTGAACTGGAGGAACTAGAGATTCCTAGAAAGAATATGTTAATCAGATCCACAAATAATCATATTTCCAAAAACCAAACACACCAATGTGGGGCTGACTATATTTCTCCAAAACTATGACTATGAAAATGGCACCCCTGCAGTAACAGCAAAGGCAAGGCCTTGGGGCACATATACCATGTGCCAAACTGTCAGAGACAATACATATTTCAACAAAGTCAGCTTAGGCCTGCACAACCTTTGGCCCTCTGCGTGTTTGGGCCTCCAACTCCAAGAAGCCCTAGCCAGTTTGTCTAATGGTTGGAGAGCCAAAGGTTGTGCAGGCCTGAGCTGGAAGACCAGGACTATGACAACCAGGTACTAACGGTGTTTGACAACCAGGCGCTAATGGTGAATGGACATATTTCAAACCATTCTGAGATTGCTGGGGATCCTTGGGCTAGATCCGACAAGGAAAGGTGTTCATGGACGACAGGCTCCTCGGTGTGGGAAATGAAACAACACCTCCCCATGGCCGAGTCGAGCACAGCCAGAGGCCAGGGATGAAAAGAAGGAAGCCTTGCCTCTGTTTATGTACTGTCTTTGTCAACTTTATAATGGCATTGAATGTTTGCCACATATGTACCTGCAACATGATCCGAGTCCCCTTGGGGAGATAATGCAGAATATAAATAAAATATATTATTTGTGAGATAGGGACTAAAATCTTTGCTTAATTCTTGTGTGACAAATTTATCTCCCAAAATCTTCCTACTGGACAAAACTATAAAAGGCTATTATGTTTGCACCCTCTCCATTTTTGTCCCAAAACCAGCAAGTAACTTTTTGTGTAAAATATTGTTTTCTGTGCCGAGTGTCCAAAGTGACATGGAAGTGCCTCATTCAACACACCATATGTTGTTGTTGTTGTTCATTCGTTCAGTCGTCTCCGACTCTTCGTGACCTCATGGACCAGCCCACGCCAGAGCTCCCTGTCGGCCGTTACCACCCCCAGCTCCTTCAAGGTCAGTCCAGTCACTTCAAGGATGCCATCCATCCATCTTGCCCTTGGTCGGACCCTCTTCCTTTTGCCTTCCACTTTCCCCAGCATAATTGTCTTCTCTAGGCTTTGCTGTCTCCTCATGATGTGGCCAAAGTACTTCAACTTTGTCTCTAGTATCCTTCCCCCCAATGAGCAGTCGGGCTTTATTTCCTGGAGGATGGACTGGTTGGATCTTCTCGCAGTCCAAGGCACTCTCAGGACTTTCCTCCAACACCACAGTCAAAAGCATCTCTCTTCCTTCGCTCAGCCTTCCCTAAGGTCCAGCTCTCACATCCGTAGGTGACTACAGGGAATTCCATGGCTTTGACTAGGCAATGGATCTTGGTTGCCAGTCTGATGTCTCTACTCTTTACTATTTTGTTGAGACTGGACATTGCTCTCCTCCCAAGAAGGAAGCGTCTTCTGATTTCCTGGCCACAGTCTGCATCTGCAGTCATCTTTGCCTAGAAATACAAAATCTGTCACGGCCTCCACATTTTCTCCCTCTATTTTCCAGTTGTCAATCATTCTTGTTGCCATAATCTTGGTTGTTTTGACGTTTTGCTGCAACCCAGCTTTTGCGCTTTCTTCTTTCACATTGATTAGAAGGCTCCTCAGCTCCTCCTTGCTTTCGGCCATCAGAGTGGTGTCATGCACACCATATACAAAATAAAAAACAAAGACCACCGAACCTCCTTGTTTTGGATCAGAGAAAAAATTGTGGGACTAACACAACAGTAAGGGGGGAACAATAAGAAGGGAAGTCTGTAAGGCTTGTTTTATAAAGGAACAGAACAACCAACAGATGTTAAAGAATGGCTGACACTGCCATCTACAGGACAGCCAAATGCTACACATCGAATATTTTAAAGGACGACAAAGTATTTTTGGTGTTGCATTTCAGCTCCCGGCATGTTCTCTAGAGGCTGTTTAATTACAAAACTCTAAAATCACAATTTAAAAAATATTGACACAAACGGTATTAGAGCTTTCAGAGAAGTTCTCCTTCAGAGGAGTATTTCCGCAAAACAACCCCCCTCCCCTCAAAAACGTAAAATCCAAAAACAAACGCAGCCAGTTCAACAGGGAAGTGTGTGTATATACAGGATATGTCAAAAAATCTTAAAATGTTTATGTATAATGAAATCTATACAAAAAAGTTTAAAAACTCGGTTCCTATGTACAATATTCTTTTTTTTTCTTTTATAAAAAGAACCTCAAAGTCTTTTTGTCACCAAGAGGGGTTTTTTTGTCTCATCTGGCCGCTCTCTAGCCATCGCAAAAGATCCCCGCCGTCTCACTTGTGCAAACCAAAACAATAAGGCTGAGCAAGATCACTTCAAAAACAGAAGAAAACTATCTATAAAAAGGGCAGCTTCTACATCTTTTTTTTAAAAAGTCCTCTATAGAGTCATTAAGTAAAGTTCCTTTAAAAACCAAAAAAAAAAAATGCATGTTAAGAACAAAACACATCTCTCAGTGTCTCCAACCGCCTCTTGGATTTTCAATGCCCTCGTTTGGAACAACTGTGTTTTCGGTCAAGATCCGTTGCTCTCATTTCGCAGCTTAAAGACAAAACCATTTGCTTTACATACAAGTCTTTAAGGTTACTGGGTTTTCTTTCACGGGAACTGGAACCCCCCCTTAACATCTCAATAAATAAAACTTTGTCAGCAAGGGAGTAGGTAGACATTTTTCAGGGGTATGTCTGTGAGAAGGAGAAAAATATCTCTGAAGTCACGCACTTCCCCCTCATCCTGGAGGCAAGATCATTCCTTTTTTCCAAAAAGCTAACCCTTTTCAAACAAGTGAACATAAAACGGTGCATCGGTACAGAAAAGCAGGAACGCTCCCTCCTTTAAGGTACGTAGGCAGCAAAGAAACGCAGGTATTATGGGTTATTTTTCCCCAAAGAGACCTGACAAAAAGTCTCTTTGAGAAGAATTCTTCCACTGCAAACAGTTATTTTTCTCTCTTTTGGAACGGGGGTGGCATACACCAAGAAAACTTCAGTAACTGGTTCAGAATGACATGAAAAAACTTCAATATACCTTTAAGGGAAAGAAAAGCACGTTCTTTGTCTTCTCGGCTTAGAAATATACATTCTCTCGTCATAAGCGTACTCTACAACGGCAAGGTTGCCTTGCTCGGAAACAAACCGTTTTGTGATCCCTGTCTTGCCGACGATGCGTTGGCACCTGGTGTGTCCAAACACCACTGATCCGCAAAGTGCTTTTGAAGAATAATACAAGGTTGTGTCTTGGGCGCAAAGGGCCAAGACGTTGCTACTCCTGTGTGCGTGTGTCCGTAAAGTGCGCCCCGGCACTCTGGGTATGTGCTACGACGGGTCCAGAGTCTGCGTGGGGCTGGGCTCCATCCCGTCCTCATTGCCGCTGTCAATGTCCTGCTCCATCACCGTCTCCTCGTCGTCGAGGCGTTGGCTGGTGAAGTTGTTGAGCTCCAGGAGACCGCTGGGTTCCACCACCACGTTGGAGGTGGAATGGCACGCCACAGAGTACTGGGGGATTGTCTGGAAGAGAGAGAGAAGAGTCTAACAACAGGGGGAAAATGATTCAAAGCCCATTGTTGAGATTGAGGAAAGATACAGAATGGGAGACAATGCCTGGCTCGAGAGCAGTACGTGTGAAAAAGATCTTGGAGTCCTCGTGGACAGCAAGTTAAACCTGAGCCAACAATGTGATGTGGCGGCAAAAAAAGCCAATGGGATTTTGGCCTGCATCAATAGGAGCATAGTGTCTAGATCTAGGGAAGTCATGCTACCCCTCTATTCTGCTTTGGTTAGACCACATCTGGGGTATTGTGTCCAATTCTGGGCACCACAATTCAAGAGAGATATTGACAAGCTGGAAAGTGTCCAGAGGAGGGCGACTAAAATGATCAAGTGTGTGGAGAACAAGCCCTATGAGGAGCGGCTTAAGGAGCTCGGCATGTTTAGCCTGAAGAAGAGGAGGCTGAGAGGAGATATGATAGCCATGTATAAATATGTGAGAGGAAGTCATAGGGAGGAAGGAGCAAGCTTGTTTTCTGCTGCCCTGGAGACTAGGACGCGGAACAATGGCTTCAAACTACAAGAAAGGAGATTCCATCTGAACATGAGGAAGAACTTCCTGACTGCGAGAGCCGTTCAGCAGTGGAACTCTCTGCCCCAGAGTGTGGTGGAGGCTCCTTCTTTGGGAGCTTTTACACAGAGGCTGGATGGCCATCTCTCAGGGGTGATTTGAATGCAATATTCCTTCTTCTTGGTGGGGGTTGGACTGGATGGCCCATGAGGTCTCTTCCAATTCTATGATTCTAAGTCTTAGTCCCTTTCTGTTTTGCTTTCATCAGAATACTGTGTCCAGTTCTAGTAACAGGGAAATATTTGATGCCTATATAAACAATGCAGAGCTAGATATAGATCTATAATTATATATACTATATATCATGTACCTGGCTGTGGTGCAGCTAGCTGGGAGATAGCTGCATTCAATCACTACTGACCGTGAGGTCATGAGTTTGAAACCAGCCTGGTTCGGAATGAGCTTCTGGTTATTAGTCTAGCTTGCTGTCAACCTGTGCAGCCCAAAAGACCGTTGCATCTGTCATGTAGGAAATTTAGGTACCACTTTATGCAGGGAGGCTAATTTAACTAATTTATGATGCCATAAAACCTTCCAGTAGCGTGCAGAAGAATGAGGAAGTACTTCATCAAAGGACTCAGTGTCACAATAGACAGTGAAGCCAGAATCGAGCATACCCTCATGAAGCTGGAAAAGCTTGGGCACAGATGGAATGATAAACTGCGTCCGTCTCTGACTATATATGTTGTATGTCTAACTGGAATTGAATGTTTGCCCCATATATGTGCATTGTACTTTGCCCCGAGTCCCCTGCGGGGTGGGAAGGGCGGAATATAAATACTGTAAATACATTTAAAAAAAATACTTATTTCACACGTCAATTAACCCTTGAAACATTTGCTCTATATATCTATATTCTAATGTTTGTGTATATTTAGAGTTTGTTTTTATTCTGGCATCGAATGTTTGCCGTATTTATATAGTGCTCCGCCCTGAGTCCTCTTCCTTGTAAGCCGCCCTAAGTCCCTTCGGGGAGATGGTGGTGGGTATAAAAATAAAGTAGTTGTTGTTATTGTTGTTATTATTATTATTATTATAAACTAGTTGCCCCCCTGCCACACGTTGCTGTGGCCCAGTCTGTTGATCTGGAATATAAAATAATGAGAAAATGTTGGTTTCTAATATATGTAATTTCTTTATGCTTGTGGGTAAACAGTATTTCTTGCTGTTTCTTTGTCAGTGTTGATGTGGAGAGTGTCTGGTTTGCCCACTCTGGAACATGCAAAATATCATTGTCCTTCTTTAGGCATCCTTTTCAAATCTATGATACTATATCTGTGTGTGTGTGAATCATATCTATCTATATCTATGGCTGGATGGCTCTTTGTCAGGAGGGCTTGTGTAGTGAGAAGTTTTGTTGCCAAATTTGGTGTGATTTCGTTCATTGGTTCTTTTGTTTTTAAGGTACTCATTATGCACAGAGCATTTATATATATATAGATTGGCTCCTGCACAATTCTTCACTGGACTGGCCATAAGCCCAGATCCAATTGGTGGGCCCCACTGATTGTATTTGCCAGCCCAATGGGTCTGTGCACAATTTACCTGGATTAGGATCTCCGCAGGCATCTCCTCCGCTTTCTTTGGGGCAATGTTCTGGATGCGAATGAACTGGCTGGTTGGAGGTGGGACGATCTGCTTCCTCTCCTGCAAAGTGGGCCCCACGCCTGGAGGACTCGAGGCCGAGTCCAAGCGTTTCACCTGCTGGAGGACGGACGCTGCCATGGCCGAGGCGGTCCCTATGGTGGCCACCCTCAGCACCGAGGTGGTTGACGGTTCGACTTCACTCGACAGGGTCCCGCACGGAGAGGCTTTGCTGCTGGCAGGCTCCACGATCACGCGCTCCACACTCGGGTCAATCTGTGCCTCCATCATGGACATTTTCAATATGTCTGCCATAGCTGTCTTCGCAGGCACCTGGGCGGGAAATAGGTTCGGGAGCGGTGGCGCCAACTTGGGCACTGAACCGACACTGGCCACTTTGGACACTGTAGGCGGCTGGTGCCCTTCAAAAGTTATCTTTGTAACAGAGGATCCTTGAGTTATTATAGGCTGGTGCACCTGAAAATCAAATTTGGGTTGCGCATGTTACAGGTGGGAAATTGCTTTGCTTCGCTTTGTTCTGAACTAAATAATAATAATAATATCAGTAACAGGTTGCTGTGAGTTTTCCGTGCTGTAAGGCCATGTTCCGGAAGCATTCTCTCCTGACATTTTGCCCACATCTCTGGCAGGCATCCTTAGAGGTTGTGAGGTCTGCTGGAAACTAGGCAAGTGAAGTTTATATATCTGTGAAATATCCAGGGTGGGAGAAAGAACTCTTGTCTGCTTGAGGCAAGTAATATTCTTGTCTGCTTGAGGCAAGCCCTGAACGGTTTGGGACCCGTCTACCTGCGTGACCACATCTCTGTATACGAACCCACACGATCCCTTCAATCATCCAGTGAGGCCCTGCTCTCGATCCCACCAGCATCGCAGGCGCGATTGGTGGGGACGAGAGAGAGGGCCTTTTCGGTGGTGGCCCCTCGACTCTGGAACTCACTCCCTAAAGACATCAGACAGGCCACAACTCTGGCAGTCTTCAGGAGGAGCTTGAAGACGTGGCTGTTCCAGTGTGCCTTCCCGGAATAATGATCCCATAGAACTTTGTCCTCCAAAGCACTTTACATTTCTTTAGGTCTGCTCGTATGCCCTTCCACAAACACCGGTATCACCTTTCTACCATGTCCCAGCATTATTTCCAATGTTAACTCTACATTTGGCCTTCCCACTGTTTTTAATTGTGTGTTGTCTTATTGATAATGTTGTGTATTTTATTGTCTATGTTTTTTAATTGCTTGTATTGTTGTTTTATTGCTTGTATTGTTGTGTTTGGGCTCGGCCTCATGTACGCCGCACCGAGTCCCTAGGGGAAATGGTAGCAGGGTACAAATAAATTGTTGTTGTTGTTGTTATTATTATATTATTATTATTATTATTATTATTATTATTATTATTATGCTATGTCCAGGTTGGTTCATCAACTGATCTGCTATAATAATAAATAATAATAATAAACTTTATTTCTACCCCGCCACCATCTCCCCGATGGGGAATCGGAGCAGCTTACATGGGGCCAAGCCCGGACAACATAATATAGCAATAAAATCAAAACATATACAACAAACAACATCATCAAAGTGACATTATAAAGGGGGAAAATCATAAAATAAACATTCCAATAATGGAATGCTATGGCTGATTTCTGTGGCTGAAGTAGTCTGCAGTGCCTTTCATGTTCCTTGATTTGTGTTTGGGCACAGCATATTATATGAGAACACAGAAATGCTGGACCACTCTAACAACCACCATCTCAGACAACACAGAGAAGTCATTGAAATCAATAAGTATGTGGTCAATTTCAACAGAAAGGAGGAAATGTTGAAAATGAACAAAATCTGGCTACCAGTATTAAAAAACTCTAAAATCAGGACAGTAAATAAGTAACAACACTCTAAAAACTCCTCTGTTGTGTCAGCTTCACTGGCTGCCAGTTTGCTACCAAGCACAATTCAAAGTGCTGGATTTAGCCTATAAAGCCCTAAATGGTTCTGGCCCATCTTACCTATCCGAACGTATCTCTCCTTGTGAACTATCTAGGTCGTTAAGATCGTCTGGGGAGGCCCTGCTCTCGGTCCCGCCTTCTTCACAGACTCGGATGGCAAGGACAAAGGACAGGGCCTTTTCAGCAGTGGCCCCTCAGCTATGGAACGTCCTCCCTAGGGATATCAGATCGGCCCGCACCCTTCTAACATTTCGAAAAAAAAGTTAAAACCTGACTTTTTGAGCAAACTTTCCCAATGCAGTGTAGCAGACAAACTCTGATCTTCGGAACGACTTGACAGTGCGATTGGGTAATGATTTTAGTAATGAGACGCTGTGGACTTATATTTTTATTGGTTTATTTTATTTTATCAAATGTTATTTATGCTAAATGTTTTAATTGCTCTTTGTTTTGTAGGCATCAAATTGTGCTATTTGTAAACCACCCTGAGTCGCCTTCGGGCTGAGAAAGGTGGTATATACTGTATATACTCGAGTATAAGCCTAGTTTTTCAGACCCTTTTTTTAGGCTGAAAAAGCCCCCCTAGGCTTATAATCGAGTCAATGTTATTTATTATTTTACTCTGTAATTAGTATTATTTTTATTCAATTTATTATTATTATTATTACATTTACATCATTTTACTCTATTTATTACATTTATTATCTTACTGTATTATTATTATAATTATTATGCTCTATTGTTATTGCTATTATAGTTATTATTTTACTCTATTATTTATTATTATTTACTTTATTTGTATACCGCTCTTCTCAGCCATTAGGCGACTGAGAGCGGTTAACAACAAGCAGCAGCAAAAATTCAATGCAAACATCATACAACCATTTAAAAGACAATTAACACAATAATACACTAAGCAAATAACATCAATAAACATCAATAAACATCAATAAACAACTCACTAGCGTCTCATAACTAAACTATTATTACATTTATTATTTTACTCTTAGAATTATTATATTTATTATTTTACTCTATTGTTAGTTTTATTATTACATTTATTATTTTACTCTATTATTATTATTGGAAGGATATGTAAGCACATTTACATTGAAGAAGGTTAGAATGTTGGTTTAATCAGGATTCGAAATTACAGCTTTATGTAAATATTAAATACTGATGCCTCAATTAATGTAATTTTATTGGTACCTATTTTTATTTTGAAATTTCCCATTCGCGGCTGCATTTCCCACCCCTGGCTTATACTCGAGTCAATACATTTTTCTAGTTTTTTGAGGTCAAATTAGGTGTCTCGGATTATATTCGGGTCGGCTTATACTCGAGTATATACGGTAAATATGGTTAATAAAAGTAAATATAATAAATAATAAATAAAAACAGGGGCATTTCAGACATGAAACAATCAGGGTCAGCTAACATTCCCAACAAAGGATTCCCCCAGGCAGAAAGCAGCCAGACCTTGAAGCTGCAAAGCTTTGCATTGCTGATCAAGGTGATTAATTGCAACATTCACACTTGCCTCCAACAGACAAGAGTTCTTTCTCCCACCCTGGACATTATTCCACAGGTATACAAACCTCACTTGCCTAGTTTCCAACAGACCTCACAATCTTGGAGGGTGCTTGCCATAGATGTGGACGAAACGTCCGGAGAGAATGCTTCTGGAACATGGACAGACAGCCTGAAAAACTCACAGCAACCCAGTGATTCAATAAATAATAATAATAATAATAATAATAATAATAATAATAATAATGGAATAGAAACACACCAGCAATACTTTCTACAGAAAAAAGAATGGGAAATTCAGAATTGTAAAACACAAAATGAAAGCAAAAGGGGGAAAGGGGCAACTAAGACTAGGATGCCAAGTTAGAATTCTTAACTGCTATATGTCCGTTTTGGCAATTATGCCAAAGTAGTCCCGTTTTCCTTTGGGATTTACACCCCGCAAAGCAAGGCCCTGGTCTTTTCCCCAGTGCAAGGTGCCTAAGGACAACCGCTTTGTAGGAGAGTGACTGATGGTCAAGAGGGGGACTATTTCCTTTTCCTTCATTCCCATTTGGTTTTGGCCCTTCCAAGGAAACCGAGGATAAAAAGTTACTAAGCCGAGGGTGATGTAAACTACAAAGGAAGACGTACAATGGAGATCCTTAGACTGCCGCCGGGCGTTCATCTTTATTTTCCATAGAAATTAAAAAAGGGTATTTACGGGGACGAAATCAATAACTTTATACCTAAAAAAAGAAGAACAAAAAAGAAAACAAAGAAAGGGAACAAATTAGGAGTGGATCCAAGCAATCAATGGCAGTCATAATGACTTGCATTAAGGAAAAGGTCCCACTAGAAGAGATTCAAATTTGACAAGGTGTGTCTATTCACTGCCTCAGTAACTATCAACGTCTCTGTTTTCAGTGATAATTCTGAAACAGATCCTTCCCTTTCTCCCTTCAAGGATCAATTACAAACTTCCCTGTTTAGACAAGCCTTTAGTCATCTGCCGGGAAGGAGCAGCCAATAGTGAAAGGACCAAGGCAGAGACATCTCCAGCTCATCCCGTTTGGGTATCAGCCAGCACATCAACGACTTAAATCAAGAAATAGTTTTCTCAGATCTACAGAGACACTCGCTGGAACACCTCAGCAAGCGAGAGTCCAAAAGTGGCAGGCTCAAACCCAGAACCTCAACCAATGGCTGATACCAAATGAGAGAACTTCCCCCTGGGCACACAGAGGACTGGGCGACTTGGAAGGCGCTGAACAGACTGCGCTCTGGCACCACGAGATGCAGAGCCAACCTTAAGAAATGGGGCTACAAAGTGGAATCCACGACATGCGAGTGTGGAGAAGAGCAAACTCAGACCACCTGCTGCAATGCAACCTGAGCCCTGCCACATGCACCATGGAGGACCTTCTTGCAGCAACACCAGAGGCACTCCAAGTGGCCAGATACTGGTCAAAGGACATTTAATCAAATACCAAGCTTGCAAACTTTGTGTTTTGTTTGTTTGTTTGTTTGTTAAAAAATGCAATACAACTGTTTGATTTGCTCCTGACACGATAAATAAATAAATAATAATCCTATTATTATAATCCCTATTATAATAATAACAAATGCAATTAAGGCCAGGATTGAAAAATCATCTGATGACCCAAAATGCAGACTGTGCAAGGAAGCTGATGAAACCATGAACCATCTCCTCAGCTGCTGCAAGAAAATCACACAGACGGACTACAATCAGAGGCATAACTCTGTGGCCCAAATGACTCACTGGAACTTATTTCACGAGTACCACCTTCCAGGAGTAAAGAATTGGTGGGATCATAAACCCGCAAAGGTTGAGGAAAATGAACATGCAAAAATACGGTGGGACTTTCGAATCCAGACTGAAAAAAGATTTGGAACACAATACACCAGACATCACGATTGTGGAAAAGAAAAGGTTGTGGTACTTGTGACATAAGTTCCAGTGAATCATCTGGGCCACAGAGTTATGCCTCTGTTTGTAGTCTGTTTGTGCGATTTTCTTGCATACCAAGTGACAGTCACATTGAGGAAAAACAACAGCTGTTATCAGGACCTCAAAATCGAACTGCAAAGGCTCTGGCATAAACCATGTTTTGTTTGTTTGTTTGTTTAAAAAAATGCAATGCAACTGTTTGGTCTGCCCCTGATACGATAAATAAATAAGGCCTTTAGTGAAGGAAACTAAGTTGGAGAAATGGATAATAAACACCGCGTGGTCTGAGCCAATGGACTATGACACTAAAGATCAGGCTTTGAATCCCTGCTCAGCTATGGAAACCCACTGGGTGAACTTGTTTGGGAAAGTCAGCACCAAAGGAAGGCAAAGGCAACCCCTCCTCAACAAATCTTGCCAAGTAAGTGCCTTGACAGGTTTATCCTAAGTCAGAAACAACTTGAAATACACAACAGCCAAAACAGAGGACAATAAAAAAGCCCTGAAGCTGGGCAGTTGCTATGCTTAACTCTGTCCACACAAAGCATCAATGCACAAAACCTATGGGTGCAACGTCAAGTTGAGAGAGCACCACAGCTTAGTCCAACTAGAACATCAGCCTTCCTTCTTTGACCCAAAGACCCCCATTACCTGGCTGGCCGGCTGCTTCTCGGGAGCGGCAGGGAGCTGCATTTGGCTCTGGGGCTGGACGTAGATTTTTTGTGCCGTGGGTGCCTGCTGGAGCTTGGGCAGCTGCTGGGTGGTTTTGACCGCCAGCACCTGGACCACAGTCTGCTGGGGCTGGGCCACCAAGGTGGGCAACTGCCTCTCCCGGACGATCGAGTGGTGGGTTGGCTGCTGGGTGTCCATCTTGGGCTGCGTGACGTCTTGCTGCACCGGAGCCAGCTTCTGGTGCCGGATGGAGAGCTGGGGCATCTGGGGCAGTTTGTGAGGGAGCTGGTCAGCCTGGAGGTGGATGGTCTGCTTCTGCTTGGCCTGGAAGCACTGCAGGGTCTTGACCTGGAGCTGGGTCTGCTCAAGCTGGGGCTGGCTCAGCTTCTGCTGCTTCTGCACCTGCGTCAAGGCGGAGCGGTAGAAGAGGCCCGTCTGAGGGTCCAGGGTGTCCATCTCTTCCACCTCGCCTTCCTCCGTGCCGAGCTGCTCGCTATGCTTGGTGAAGGCCGTGTGGCTGCTGAGAGCCTAGGTGGACAGAGGACAGATAAGTCAAGAGGCACAAGAGCAGACACAAGGGCAAACACAAGAACCTGCACAGAGCATGGATAGAAAATGTGGTGGCCTTCAGGTATGGAGGGACTTCAATTGCACCAACCCAAGTTACAAAGGGATAATTCTTTGTTTAGGGAGTTTTACCATCACCTTTGCAAGGTTTTCTTTTTTTTGGGGGGGGGGGGTCTTGAAGGGTCTTTTTGGGTTCAAGATGGGTTGGGCTATTTTAGTTTGGGTCTCAGTTCTGGATCAGGGTGACCTACAAAACCCTATACGTTTCCGGTCCAGCATATCTGTCCGAACGCATCTCCCTCTACGTCCCACCCCGGAATTTGAGATCATCTGGGGAGGCCGTGCTCTTGACCCCACCCCTATCACAAGTGAGGTTGGTGGGGACGAGAAGCAGGGCCTTCTCAGTGGTGGCCCCTCAACTGTGGAACTCACTCCCGGGGGAAATTAGGTCATCAACATCCCTCTTCTCCTTCAGGAGGAAATTAAAGACATGGTTGTGGGACCAGGCCTTTGGGCAATCAAACTAGATAAGGACAATCAGACGACTAGGACTGACAGGACTGACAAAGTGGAATTGGAAATTGGACTATGAGATGGCGAACACTGACCGTTAATTAGGTGTAAGTGGTTTTTATTGGTTTTATTGTTGTAATGCAGAAACTGTTGCTAACTGTTAATTGCTGCTATGTTGTTTTATACTACTGCTATGTGATGCTGGCATCGAATTGTGCCTTTGTAAGCCGCCCTGAGTCCCCTCCGGGGTGAGAAGGGCCGGGTAGAAGGAACCGAAATAAATAAATAAATAGGTCAAGCAAGGCCTGTGGACTAGACAAGCTCAAGACTTTGAGTTTATGTGAAATCAGAAGCCCTCTGCCTTCTGATTTTCTGGGCAGGTAAAGTCTGTCGGCATCACTATGCAGGTGTAAAGAGTAGTGGAGTGTCATCAGTTTTCTTGTTATTATTATTATTTTAGTGATATAAAAGCACAGTATGTCACAGCAAATGAGATCTATATGCTGGATTTCATATCACAAAATCACAAGTCGAACACTTCCCAAGCATCTAGGATTGTATCATGTATTTTCGAATTATGCGCACAGATCCAAGTCAGGTGGCCTTTTGCAGTTGACAGATCGTGATTTTGTCAATGTTTATTGTTTCCAAATGCCAGCTGAGATCTTTTGGTATGGCACCCAGTGTGCTGATTATACTGGTTTATGTCAGTTCAATTTGGAGGTCATTATCATTATCATCATCATTATTATTTGATACGCAAGAATAGTAAACAACAAACAAGATCACTATGCTGGCTTTTGTATTGGATCACACGCCGGATACTTCCCAAGTGTTTAAGACTGTGTGATGTATCGGCGAATCATGTGTGCAGATCCCAGTAAGGTGGCCTTTTGCAGCTGACAGATGGTAATTTTGTCAGCACTGATTGTTTCTAAGTGCAGGCCAAGGTCTTTAGGCACTGCACCCAGTGTGCTGATCACCACTGGGACCACCTTTACTGGCTTGTGCCAGAGTCTTTGCATTATTTATTACAATTATGATTATGATTATTATAGGGGGAAAGCTTATTTTCTGCTGCTCCAGAGACCAGGACAGAATGGAGCCACGGATTCAAGTGACAGGGAAAGAGATTCCACCTAAATATGAGGAAGAACTTCCTGATGGTAAGAGCTGTTCCACAGTGGAGCATGGTGGAATCTCCATCTCTGAAGGCTTTCAAGCAAAGGCTGGGTGGCCATTTGTCAGGAATGCTTTGATTGTGTATTCCTGCATGGCAGAATGGGGCTGGACTGGATGGCCCTTGCAGTCTCCTCCAATTTTATGGGACCAACCTGTTGCATGATGTGGGTGATGGCACCTGTTGAGGACGCAGGGATGGACTTCACCACGACAGAAGTCTGTGTTGCTGTCTGAGACTGGGCCACATGCTGCAGCAGAGTCCGCTGGGGCTGGGAAGATTGCTGGTGGGGCTGGGCACGGTGGCTCACTGAAAGAAGGGAGAAAAATAAGGCAGAATTGTCAATGAGGACATCATCATCATCATCATCATTTACACTCTGCTTTTTCTCTCCACAAGGAGTCTCAAAGCAGACTTCTCAAGGGAGGCATCACAAAGTCACCTTCTCAGAGCAACACTCACGAAGCAAAATACATATGGATAAAATGCATTTATTGTCAAAGGCTTTCATGGCCGGGTTGTTGTAGGTTTTTTCGGGCTATATGGCCATGTTCTAGAGACTCTAGAACATGGCCATATAGCCTGAAAAAACCTACAACAGCCCAATGTATTTATGTTTCAATAGTAAGCAGACTGCTTTATTATGGAGGGAAGAACCATGGAATGCTTCTTAAAGTGACATTCTGGGCATCAATGAATGGAAAACAATACTGATGTCATGATTTCTAATAATTCTGTTGATATATTCCAAAGGGAACACAGCAAACCAACACTGCAGGTTCCCCTAAACCTTAAATTCAACAGAATCCTGAATATGTAGCAGATTTTTTTCCCCTCAAGCTCCAAAAACACTCCAAGATTAAGGAATGGTTATCATGGAAGCTTCTCAACATGTGCTCAAAAGCCTCCAAGCGACTACTACAGGTATCATTTCAAACAGCTGTTACATTCAATTGTAGAAGTCCTCCTTTCAGACTTATCTTACTGCCACTTGCACATTTCTGGCAGTACTTTGAAGTGGTTGTTTTGAAAAAAACCCAGAGTAACAAGCGCTTAGAGCAGTGGTTCTCAACCAGATGTTTTGGCCTTCATCTCCCAGAAAACCTAACAGCTGGTAAACTGGATGGATTTCTGGGAGTTGTAGGCCATAACACATGGGGACCCACAGGTTGAAAAACAATGGATTAGCACAACTTTCTAGCTCCCTTTGCTCCCACCAGAAGGTTGCAATGAAGCCCCCATGGATGACATTCAGCAATTTTTAAAAAAATGCCTTTTAGAAATAAAACACCTGACCTATGTGATTTTGGAGATATTCTTCTGAATGTGAAGAAACCCAGCGCTGACCTTCTGAGTCTGCAGATAAAGAAAAATGTTAGAGGTAAGAGAAGAGGCAAATTGCTCTGCTTGTTCCCAGCTGATGTTAGCTCAGGCATGGGCAAACTTCGGCCCTCCGGGAGTTTTGGACTTCAACTCCCACAATTCCTGCCACCACTGAAAAGGTCCTCTCGCTCGTCGTCACCAGCTGTGTTTGTGATGGTGGTGGAAGCGAGAGGAAGGCATCCCGGCAGATCTTAGAGTCCATGTTGATTCATAGGGGGAGATGCGATCATGAAGATAGGTGGGGGCCTGAACTCTTTAGAGCTGTGTAGGTCATAATTGAAATCAGAAACTTATCAGCAGCCAGTGGAGCTGCTTTAATCCTTTGTTTGGAGGTGTTAACAGAAAGGAGGAAACCATGAAAATGAACAAAATCTGGCTACCCGATTTAAAAACTCTAAAATCAGGAAGTAAAATAAAAAGTAAAATAAAAAGCAGGGGAATTCCAGACAAGATTCAATTAGCTAACGCCTCCAAACAAAGAATTCCCCCAGGCAGCAATCAGCCAGGCTTGAAGCTGCAAAGCCATTCAATGCTACAATTATATATTTATATTACCTGTAATATTACTAATAATATTACAATAAAATGGTATAATACAATATAGTAATATATAATACTGATATTGTACTGTGCTAATAATATATTGTATGTATATATATCTTGTAAGCCGCTCTGAGTCCCCTTCGGAGTGAGAAGGGCGGCATATAAATGTTGTAAATAAATAAAATAAATAAATAATCAAGGCAGCCAATTGCAACATTCACACTTGCCTCATTTAGACAGGAGTACTCTCCCACCCTGGACATTCCACAGATATATAAACCCCACTTGCCTAGTTTTCAACAAACCCCTCAACCTCTGAGGATGCCTGCCATAGATGTGGGTGAAACATCAGGAGAGAATGCTTCTGGAACACGGTCATACAGCCCAGAGAACTCACAGCAACCCAGTGAGTTCCATTTGTTTCATCTCTTTTCATTCTCAAATCTGATTTCAGCCTCGGCTAGTGCAGCTAGTAGTCCACTGAAGGGCCTACCACACCTAGAATATATCTGGTTTTCCCCTGTCTTCACACAAAAGAATGAGAAAGTGATGTCTCATTAAGGTGGAATGGACTGTACCACTCCAGATTGGGTAATTATATTTTTAGAGTTATTTGGGAAGTACAGACACCATGATTAAGAAGCATGTTTTTTTGCATTTGCTTTCCTATGCATAAATAATTTCCTGCCAAGCAGGAGACTTGACTTTAAACATTTGCAACAAATGCAAACCTGGTGCACAAAAGTAAGTGATCTCAGCTAAAATATCAGGGTGTGAGTCTACCCTTGCAGGAAGTTATATTCATACAAGAGAATGAATGGAAAAGGTGAGTTCAGACCTCTATTATCTCACCTCTAACATTTGCCCACTTCTAACAAAAGCAAATGGCATTGGCAGTTCTTGCAAATCAGTTATGTCTTGGACGATGGAAATATTTTCTTTCCTCTGCCCTTAACTTTGCAAAGACTGTATGTTTTGCAAGAAAGAGAGGAAAAACTTCCACTGACTATTTCCTGATTGTTCATAATAAGATGTCTAGATCTATAGGGCAGTATGTAGACATTTCACAAAAGCAAATGATTCTCTTCACGCAGCTGAATACATGCCATATGCAAAAGCTGTGGATCACCACTTCCCAGAGCCACTGGCGATTGGGAGGTTTTCCTGGAGATGGAAAAACCACAATATGCAAATACACAAGAGAGCAAACATGCTCAGGCAACCACACAACTAAGGAATGGCAGCCTGCAAAAATTGTTACGACATCTCTTTTTGAGCCAGGAAACCAGGGCCTGAGTCGGCGCTGAAGCCAGACACTGAACAACACAAAACTATGACGTACAGACAAAAAGTTCATAGAGTTCAGTGGAAAGGTGAGGACGAGAAAGGCGTACATGTTTGAAACACCCCTCCAACACACACACATTTTGATATATACATAGTAAGTCCCAATCGGCATTCAAATCTGGCAGGGGGACGGAGGGACATGGACATAGTCTGGTCATTACAACTCAATGGCAGAAGACAAAGCTTTCAAGTAGAAGAAACGTTCAGTTCGCAGCATTTCTAGAATGATTCTACATTGTAGTATTAATGTAGTTTGACACCACTTTGGCTGCCATAACTCAGTGTTACGGAATCCTGGGATTTGTAGTTTGGGAGAGCAGTACCACTCTTTGGGAGAGATGGCTAAAGACTTTGTAAAGCCACAACTCTCAGGATTTCATAGCATTGAGCCATAGTTTTTGATTTTTTTTTTTTTAGTGTCAGAAACTGCAAGTCACTTCTGGTGTGAGAGAATTGGCTGTCTGCAAGGACGTTGCCCAGGGGACACCCAGATGTTTTGATGTTTTACCATTCATGTGGGAGGCTTCTCTTATGTTCCCACATAGGGAGCTGGAGCTGATAGAGGGTGCTCAACCCACTCTCCCTGGATTCGTACCGCTGACCTGTCGGTCAGCAATCCTGCCAGCACAAGGGTTTAACCCAATGCGCCATGGGGTGCACCTACAGCATAGAATTAATGTAATCTTGGCACCATTTTACCATTTTAACTATCTTGGTTCAATGTTATGAAATCCTGGGATTTGTAGTTTGATGAGCATTGAGCCATGGCAGATGCCTCCAGTAAGCCCACAAACAGAACATGAGGACAACATCCCTGCTCCTACTGCTACTTCCCAGCAATTAGTATTCATAGAGTCATAGAATCCTAGAGTTGGAAGAGACTCTTGGGTCATCCAGTCCAACTCCCTGCCAAGAAGCAGGAATATTGCATTCAAAGCACCCCTGACAGATGGCCATCCAGCCTCTTTTTAAAAGCCTCCAAAGAAGGAGCTTCCACCACACTCTGGGGCAGAGAGTTCCACTGCTGAACAGCTCTCACAGTCAGGAAGTTCTTCCTAATGTTCAGATGGAATCTCCTTTTTCCCCATCTCAGTACAAAGAGAGGTGTAACAGATTGTAATTATTACTAGCAAGGGCTCCAGGTTTAAGGAGAATAAGGTAACATGTAGGACATCAACGGTAACATTCAACTCTTTGTGTCTTGCCCAGAAACTAACTGGCAACCAATGGGGTGATTTTAATAAAGGTTTATTTATTATTTATTTACTGTATTTGTATACTGCCCTTCTCAGCCCTCAGGCGACTCAGGTGTTATATAATCACTCCTAGATACACCAGGAATCAACATGGCTGCCATTTTTAGTTATTATTGTTTGTTATTGTATTTATATAGCGCTTTTTCCACTCCTGGGGGGACTCAAGGAAGTTTACAACATAGTAATGGCAAAAATTAAATGCCAACATACAGTACACATTGCAATCATAACAAATTACTACATATAACTATGAGCTTAAAATCAATTAAAACCATTAAACGTAAGACATACATAACATGTAAACTTTCAGACAAGAATAAAATCATCCTAGTATAAGGATTCCCCGGTGGCACAGTGGATTAAACCCCTGTGCTGGCAGGACTGAAGACCGACAGGTCACAGGTTCGAATCCGGGGAGAGCGTGGATGAGCTCCCTCTATCAGCTCCAGCTCCTCATGCGGGGACATGAGAGAAGCCTCCCACGAGGATGAGAAAACATCAAAACATTTGGGCGTCCCCTGGGCAATGTCCTTGCAGACAGCCAATTCTCTCACACCAGAAGCAACTTGCAGTTTCTCAAGTCGCTCCTGACATGACAAAAAAATATCCTTCTATAAACATTAAAATCCCATGATCCAGAAATCGTATACCAAAGTCATTCCAAATTGTCACTGCACGTTCCTTAATTATTCTTTGCACTCTTTGAAGTTTCCAAACTTGGTGTAGAGGTAGACCAATGTCCAGTGCATGGCAGAAGTCTAGCCTTGTGGTCACAATTGCATTTGCTACCATGGCTAGAGAGAAAATATGCCTTGCTTCTCCTACCAAGTGTTAGATTTAAAGCTCTTTCATATTCTAAAAGAGGTTACACCCTGTTTTGTGGATAGCATGGAACAGGAGTCCAAGCCAATCCAGTTCTGCTATGTCTCCGTGTCTCCAAATGTTTGCACTTGTGTCGGCCAATTCCAAGAGAGCCTTCTCTGTCAAACCACATGCAAATGTCCTCTGCAACATACCAGTGGTGATATATTCTGCGACAAGTTCTGACTCCACCACAGCAATGGACGGGCTCTCCGGAGAATGGCGCTTCTCCTGGGCCATCTGGATGGGGACTGCCATCTGGCTCAGGTCTATCGTTGGTTGCCTGGGCTTCGACTCCAATTTCTCCTTCACTGCTCCACCAAATGAAAAGAGAAGAGATGAGAATGTGTTGTCGAAGGCTTTCATTTTATTGGAATCACTGAGTTACTGTGAGTTTTCTGGGATGTATGGCCATGTTCCAGAAGTATTCTCTTCTGACGTTTCACCCATATCTATGGCAGGCATCCTCAAAGATTGTGAAGTATACTGGAAACTAGACAAGGGAGGTTTATATATCTGTTGAATGTCCCCGTTGAGAGAAAATCTCTAGTCTGTTGGAGGCAAATGTGAATGTTGCAATTAATCACCCTGATTAGCATTGCAAAGCCTTGCAGCTTCAAAAATGGCTGCTTTCTGCCTGTAGAAATTCTTTGTTGGAAGGTGTTAGCTAGAATCATAGAATCAAAGAGTTGGAAAAGACCTCATGGGCCATCCAGTCCAACCCCATTCTGCCAAGAAGCAGGAATATTGCATTCAAATCACCCCTGACAGATGGCCATCCAGCCTCTGTTTAAAAGCTTCCAAAGAAGGAGCCTCCACCACACTCCGGGGCAGAGAGTTCCACTGCTGAATGGCTCTCACAGTCAGGAAGTTCTTCCTCGTGTTCAGATGGAATCTCCTCTCTTGTAGTTTGAAGCCATTGTTCCGCGTCCTAGTCTCCAAGGAAGCAGAAAACAAGCTTGCTCCCTCCTCCCTGTGGCTTCCTCTCATATATTTATACATGGCTATCATATCTCCTCTCAGCCTTCTCTTCTTCAGGCTAAACATGCCCAGTTCCCTAAGCCGCTCCTCATAGGGCTTGTTCTCCAGACCCTTGATCATTTTAGTCGCCCTCCTCTGGACACATTCCAGCTTGTCAATATCTCTCTTGAATTGTGGTGCCCAGAATTGGACACAATATTCCAGGTGTGGTCGAACCAAAGCGGAATAGAGCATGGGTAGCATTACTTCCCTAGATCTAGACACTATGCTCCTATTGATGCAGGCCAAAATGAGCTGCTCCTGATTGTTTCCTGTCTGGAATTCTCCTGTTTTCAGAGTGTTGTACTTTACTTACTGTCTTGATTCTGGTGTTTTTTAAAATACTGGTAGCCAGATTTTGTTCATTTTCATAGTTTCCTCCTTTCTGTCGAAATTGTCCACATGCTTGTGGATTTCGATGGCTTCTCTGTGTAGCCTGACATGCTGGTTGTGAGAGTGGTCCAGCATTTCTGTCTTCTCAAATAATATGCAGTGTCCAGGTTGGTTCATCAAGTGCTCTGCTATGGCTGATTCCTCAGGTTAAATTAGTCTGCAGTGTCTTTCATATTCCTTGATTCGTATCTCAGCAATGCTGCGTTTGGAGGTCCCTATGTAGATTTGTCCACAGCTGCAATATATTCGGTACTCCTTCAGAGGTGAGAAGATTCCTCTTGTCCTTTGCTGAACATAGCATTTCCTGGATTTTCTTAGTGGGTCTGTAGATAGTCTGTAGGTTGTGTTTCCTCATCAGCTTCCCTATGTGGTCAGTTGTTCCCTTGATGTATGGCAAGAACACTTTTCCTCTGGGTGGATCACTGGTTCCCTTGATGTATATCTCACAACCTTTGAGGATGCTTGTCATAGATGTGGGTGAAACATCAGGAGAGAATGCTTCTGGAACATGGCATTACAGCCCAGAAAACTCACAGCAGCCCAGATGATAGTGTGTTTTCATTTACTTTTTGTTTGGAGGACCGAGTTGAACTGTTTGTTAATATTGGTCAAGGGGAGACCCACGGTGGCCTGAATGACACTTTTGTAGCACCTGGAGTCCCCTCCCACAGTTCTTCCAATCCTCCCCCCTTTTAAATGCAGAAATATTAAACAGAAATACATGTTAATTTAGGAAAGTTAGACAGAGAGGGAAAACATGGTTGGAAGAGGACAGGGACTGCTCACCTGTTGTTTGCTGGAGTTCCAACAATGCTTTGATTGTAGAAGTGGCAGATTGAGATTCACCAGAGACATCCTGGTAAATTATGGTAGGGCTGGAGTCCACAGCAATCTCGTGTTCAGACCAGTCCTGGCTCCGGGATGCAATGACATGAACCACAGGCTGGGAATCTGAGACAGAAGATGGCAGCCTCCAGTCAATCTATGTTAGTTTCTTTGATAAGCTACAACCCAAAATTGCAGAGGATGCAATATTTACTAATCCCTATTTTTTCCAGGTTGTCCTCCTATCCTACAGCCACTTTCTAGCTGCTTTCAGCACTCTATTATTTATTATTATTTACCTTATTTATTTTACCTTATCTCAACCCTGTAGGGGACTCAAGGCGGCTTACATATATAGGCAACACATTTGATGCCATATAAAACATACATATTATATTGTTTTAATATATCTATATCTATCTGTTTCTATATCTATATATTAAAACAATCATTAAAACATATAAAACCTTAAAAAACACTTGTTAAAGCACTTCAGGTAACATTAATCATTACTTGGTGGAAGAGAGCCTATGCCATCATGGAATTCCATGTGCAAATGCAGTACAGCCCCATTTCCAGGGAAGCTGAACTCACATTTTCACTGATACACATCCAAAAATTATGTTCTCTCAACACATCCTTAGGTCCCCTGGTACAAACCTATTGTTATGTTTCCACCAGAGGTTGACCAGTGTCAAGCTGGAGGGCCCGGAAATTGCCTAAAAGAGGTGTCCTCTAGGCATTTCCTAGATTTTCCAATGCAAAACTATGATATACTTCTATCAGAAGTTATTTATTCCACTGATATATACATTCCACAGATATATAAACCCAATTTTCCTAGTTCCAACAGACCTCACTACCTCTGAAGATGCTTGCCATAGATGCAGGCGAAATGTCAGGAGAGAATACCTTTAGAACATGGCCATATAGCCCGAAAAAACCTACAACAATCCAGTTATTCCAATAGTGTTTGTTGTTTTCTACAGTTTCTACAGTAAATCTAGGAATGCAAATTTGGGGGATCATACTTTATGTTGCAATGCACAGATTTCATGTCCAAACCAGTATCTACATATTAAGAAAATATTAGATCTGAGTCTGGTGGTTATAGAAAATGGCTCCTGGTGGAAATCTCAGGTTAAGGCTTTAGTTATATCGAAGCATAGACATGTATGCAAGAGAACTGAAATGCCTATACCAGTATCATTGGCAACTCAAAGGATAAAAAATAAAAGGAAATGGAAAAGAGAGGACATCCTTTAAACTGCAAGCAAATGTATATGAGTGCCTAAGCCTGCTGGAAGACTTAGGTAGTCGTAATCCAAAGGAAGGAGCATCTAATGACACACTGGGTTAAACCCTCGTGCCAGCAGGATTGCTGACTGACAATTCAGGGAAGAGTGGGTTGAGCTCCCTCTGTCCAGCTCCCCATGTGGAGACATGAGAAAAGCCTCCCACAAGAACGATCAAAACATCAAGATGTCCCCTGGGCAATGTCCTCTCACAGCAGAAGGGATTTGCAGTTTCTCAAGTTGCTCCTGACATGGGAAAAAAATCCAAAGGAGCCAGCAAGACGTAGTAGTTGGAGCACTGGACTATGAGTGGAGACCAGAGCTTGAATCCCATCCTAGCTATGTAAGCTCACTGGCTAAACCCTGAGTAATTCACACTACCTCAAACTCAGAAGAAGGGACAGGCAAATCCTTTCTGAACCAATTTTGCTAAAAAATTCACATTATGTTTACATTAGGTTCTCCATAAGATAAAAATAGCTTGAAGGCACACAACAACAACAGCAATGTCCAATAAAATAATGTTTCTAAGCGCCAATGCAGGCATGGGCAAACTTCAGCCCTCCAGGTGTTTTGGACTTCACCTCCCACAATTCCTAACAGCCTACCGGCTGTTAGGAATTGTGGGAGTTGAAGTCCAAAACACCTGGAGGGCTGAAGTTTGCCCATGCCTGCTCCAACAGAGTACTCAAAATACATTATCATGAGCAGTTCAGTTCAGGGGCTCAGATCTCTGGAAAAAGCCAAGCCACCCCAGTGATAAGGGAAAGCTATACCAATTTAACCTTGGGAGCCTTGCGAGGATTCTGTCGAGGAAGAACTGCTGTCGGTGTACACCTGGGGCTCTTCTTTCACCTCCGGCAATAAAGCGTTCCCGGCCTCCACCACTCGCGAGGCCTGCTGCAAAGTCTCCGTGACCAGCTGCCTCGTCTGCTCACTTACCACCGTCGCTTGGAAGGTCACCGGTTTTGGTTTGATGAGGACCTAAAGAAAGTCAGAGGAGCAAAATGTGTCAACATAGCAGATCTCCTTTAGTGCTTTATGCACATTATTCCTTCCGCAATATCAGGGTGGAGAGCACTGATTTTGCCCTTTTATTAGAAAATCTATTTTGTCTGCCTCAAATCCTAAGGAGAATATAATTTAGAACAGCGTTTCTCAATTTGGAGGTTGGGACCCCTGGAGAGGTCGCAAAGAGTTGTCAGAGGGGTCGCTAAAGACCACTAGATAACACAGTATTTTCCGTAGGGGTTCTGTGTGGGAAGTTTGGACAAATTCTATCACTGGTGGGGTTCAGAATGCTCTTTGATGAACTATAAATCCCAGCAACTACAACTCCCAAATGCCGCCACTCTCTTCACTCTACTTTCAAGACTCTCCAAATCCTCCCATGTTACTATTTCCAGGCAGCCAGGAGAGAGAGGAAAAAAGCAAGGCCACACGATCGGCCAGCAGATGCCTCTGAAGGACACCGGGCTCACCTTGGCCCAAAGAAGCGCCTCTGGATGACGATTCCCAGCAGCCCCAGGTGGCAGTGTGCCTTGGACTGTCTCGCTGAGGCATTCTGGGAGTTGTAGTTACCGAATCAATAGAATTATGTTGGAAGAGGGGTAGTCTTATACGGCGAGTATATCCCTAACTCTATGTTTTATCTTGAAAATTTGGGTGTCGTCTTATACACAGAATCGTATGCTGGAAAATAGAGTAGCAACATTGTAGAGCAGTGGTTCTCAACCTGGGGTCCCCAGATGTTTTTGGCCTACAATTCCCAGAAATCCTAACAGCTGGTAAACTGGCTGGGATTACTGGGAGTTGTAGGCCAAAAACATCTGGGAACCAAAGGTTGAGAAGCACTGTTGTAGAGCCAGCAGGATGTAGCCGTTTGAGTACTGGACAACAAACCTGGAAGTCAAGGTTTGAAAGTCACTGGGTGGCTTTGGGCAGATCACACTCCCTCAACTTCAGAAGGTGAAACTTCTTTGGGAAAATTTTGCCAAGAAAATCCCATGATATAACAACAACAACAACAACAACAACAACTTTATTCTTATACCCCGCCACCATCTCCCCGAAGAGACTCGGGTTGGCTTACAAGGGAGCAAGCCCTCATTATGGATAAATCAGCATTAAAAACAATCAAATAAAAACATAAACGCAATCAGAACAACATCTTAAAACAATAGGCTGGGATAACAGTCAAACTGGGATCAGGCTCAAATTACTGCAGTGCTCCTGTATTGGGGACAGTGGAGAGTGCAGACTAAAGGAACTGAGGTTAGAAATGCCTTAACATGTCAAGGGACAAGTTGGTGGGCAAAATAAAGTGCACAGTCGGGGTAGAAAGGTAATAGTTCTCTGGTGAAACTGCTCCATCAAAGGCATGACAGAACATCCATGTTTTCAATTCTCTACGAAAAATGATATGTTCTCCTTAAGAGCTACTATGTCAGAAATGGATTGGAGCACCCAACAACAACCAAGTAACAGTGTCAATGCCCTCAATCTACCCCAGCAGAAGACCAGTGGGCCGTTTCTGCCTCCATCTTTCCTTCTCAGCTGTCCTGTGTGTATGAGCTTGTCTTTTAATATTTCAGTAGCACATTGATGTATCTTTCACAAAACAATAAGGCTGTTTTCCCTCTCCATTTCCTCTGAATTGTCTTCACCAACCCAAGTTCATAAGCATATACCTGTGTTTTTCCTTGCTGCCCATACACAATTTTGGTGGGGATGATTTTGGTGGCCGGCTGGACGGCAGACCCAAGTCCTTTGGGTTGCGTGACGATCATTTTGGTGATGGGTCTGCTGGCAGTGAGGATGCCTGGTTTCGCTCCCGCAGGCACGGCTTGGATCGTTTTCTCTCCCTGAGAACAAAGTGTGGAGATTCGCTTTTAAACGAATCCACAGACACAAATAAGTTCCCATTGAAAGCTTTATGTGGTTAGGTTTAATTTCTTGGGGTAATTGAAACCCACTGCTTTATAAACATCTTTCTGATATCCATTTAGAGAATATTATTAAAAACATCATCTATAAAATCATCTTCAGTGTATATGGTGCATATGAAACATAAATAGGACTTTGTGTCTCCCCTCCAAAATATCTCATTATGTACATACTGGTATTCGAAATCTGAAAAAATCCAAGTGTCCCACATATTTCAGATAAGGGATACTCAATCTGTACTTAACAAGAACAAATGGATGTATGGATTATTGCTTCTAATACCTCTGCCCAGTTGTGCTTCCCAAATTTATTTCTCTACTTATTTTATTGAAGGTACCATATATACTCAAGTACAAGCTGACCCAAATATAAGCCATGGCACCTAATTTTACCACAAGAAACAGGGAAAACATATTGACTCGAGGATAAGCCAAGGGTGGGAAATGCATCAAAATTACATTAACTGAGGCGTCAGGAGGTTAAAAGGTTTTGGTCCCTCAGCTGTGGAACTCCCTGCCCAGGGATATCAGATCAGACCCCTCCCTCCTAAGCTTTCAGGAAAAAAAATGAAAACTTGGCTCTTTGAGCAAGCTTTTGGAGCCTCAGCTTAATCAGATAAACCTGAATTGGAAAAACGACCTAGGAACAGCTAAAACGACGGAACGGATGAGGACTGAATATGAAGACATAGTTTAAATTTTTTTATTGTTCACTGTTTAGATGTTTTTAGATATATTGTAATGTGATGTCTTATTTTTATTGATGTATGTATTTTATATATGGCATCGAATTGTGCCGATTGTTCGCCGCCCAGAGTCGCCTTTGGGCTGATATGGGCAGGGTAAAAATGATATAAATAAATAAATATTTACATAAAACTGTAATTTAAGATAAGACTGTCCAACTCTGATTAGTACGTTATTCTAACCTTCTTCAATGTAAATGTTCTTACGTATCCTTCCAAACATAATAAAGTAAAATAATAAATGTAATAAAAATAATAGAGTAAAATAATAAATGTAATAATAACAATAATTAAAGTAAATTAATAAATGTAATACTACTAATAACAGAGTAAAATAATAAATGCAATCATAATAATAAATAGAGAAAAATAATGGAAATGTAATAATAATAAATTTATGGATAATGTGTTAAGTCAATTGTTATATGTTGTATGGAACCACTGCTGTTTCTACTGTTTGTGAACCGCTGTGAGTCGCCTTCGGGCTTGAGATACAGCGGTATATAAGCAAAGTAAATAAATAAATAAATAATAATAATAATAGTTAGAGTGAAATAATAAATGTAATAATAATAATAATGACATCATTATTCGCTCATGACATCATTGAGGTGCTCAAGCTCCAGCGCCCCGACAAGGCGGTGATCCTTTGCTGGAGAATAATAATAATAGGAACAGAGTAAAATAACCTTGACTTGAGTATAAGTCGGAGTGGGCTTTTTCAGGCAGAAAAAGGGGCTGAAAATCAGCTTATACTCAAGTATATACAGTATGTTGCCAATCTACTTCTGGCAGATAATAAGGGAGAAGGTGATCCACTTGGTAACCTGGACATCAAAGGTAACATGTAGGTAACATCAAAGGTAACATCCAAAACTTCATATCTTGCCCAGAAACTAGTTAGTTGGCAGCCAATTGGGTTGATTTTAATAAAGATGTTATATAATCACTCCTAGACACACCAGGAATCAATATTTTTGCATTCTTTGAAGTTTCCGATCTTGGTGCAGAGGTAACCCAATGTCCAGTGCATGAAAAACCCAAGAATATACTGTATATGCTAATTTTCTCCCACAGAAAGACTCAATTTAATGTTTCAGGAAATCACAAGCCGTGTCCTTGAGACCCACAAAATCATGCTCGCTTACCCCTGCATTTAGCAATGTTGTGACCACGTTTTTTCCTGGAAGTCCTTGAATGGTGGTGCCTTTTCCCGTCGTCTTCTGCACGACTATCACGTTGGGTTTGGACGTCACAGGGATGGTTGTGATTTTGGTTGTGGTTCCTTGTTTAGAGAAAGGGAAGAGAAGGATAGGAGATGTGATCAGAAAGAAAAGTAAAGTTGCAATCCATTTATGGATCTCACTTAGACATTCTTTTCCCAAACGCCACCCACCCGAGAACAATTTAAGGGAACAAGTGAACACTAGACATCATGAAAATTCTCCATGCACAAGAAGTTATGTGCAAGTGTTCTCCAAGGCATGGAGAGCCAAGCTTCACAAGAACTCCTTATCACAAGGATAGCAGCTAATTCCTTTAAGATTACTTGTGCCTTACATTTACAGGGGAATGGCAAAAGAGCATCAAGACATTGGGTTCAGGGGAGATTGTTAAGCCTCTGGACATAGAATAAAACAAACTGATTGGTAACCAAGAGGAAAAGGGGACTAATGAATTTCAAGACAATTTCTCTCCAGTCAAGCCCAGATTCAAATTAAGTCATATGGTTATTTACTTATTTACTTTATTTTTCTCCTGCCTTTCTCCTCATAGGGACTCAAAACATCTGTCTGGGACAAATTACCGTATATACTGGAGTATAAGATGAGTTTTTCAGTCCTTTTTTAAGGCTGGACCTCTCCCCCCTCTCCCCCAGCTTATACTCAAATCAAAGTTATTTATTATTTTACTGTTATTATTATTGATTTACTTTAATTATTATTATTATTACATATACAGTAAAGTATTGCTTATCCAACCTTTGCTCATCCAACGTTCTGTATTATCCAATGCAGTCTGCCTCCTACCCGGATCCACAGTTGCTTCAATACATTGCAATGTTTTGGTGCTAAATTTGTAAATACAGTAATCACTACATAATGTTACCATGTATTGATCTACCTTTTCTGTCAATTCGTTGTAAAACATGATGTTTTGGTGCTTAATTTGTAAAATTATAATGTAATTTGACATTTAATAGGCTTGTCCTCAATCTCTCCTTATTATCCAACATTTTCGCTTATCCAACATTCTACACTGAAGATGATTTTGGATAAGCAAAACTCTATTGTACATTATTTTACTCTATTATTGTCATTCTATTACATTTATTATTTTACTCTATTTATTATTATTATATTTATTATTTTATTCTATTATTATTATTACATTTACATTATTTTGCTCTATTTATTATTATTATTACATTTATTATTCATTTTATTATTGTTCTTATTACATTTATTATTTTACTTTATTTATAATTATTATTACATATTTATTTTACTCTATTATTATTATTATTATTATTACATTTATTATTTTATTCTATTATTTTTGTTACATTCATTTTACTCTATTATTATTAATATTATTAAATTTATTATTTACTTTATTATTGTTGTTGTTATTACATTTATTATTTTACTTTATTATTTTTATTATTTTACTCTATCATTATTGGAAGGATGCGTAAGCACATTTACATTGAAGAAGGTCAGAATAAAAGTTTAATCAGAGTTTAACAGTCTTATCTTAAATTACAGTTTTATGTAAATATTCAAAATAACCTACTGATGCCTCAATTAACGTAATTTTAGTGGTATCTATTTTTATTTTGAAATTTACCCATAGCTGCTGCATTTCCCACCCTTGGCTTATACTCAAGTCAATGCATTTTCCCAGTTTTTGTGGCAAAATTAGGTGCCTCAGCTTATATTCGGGTCTACTTATACTCGAGTATATATGGTAGCCTTCAGAGAAAAACACCAGCAAAACTATAACTGTGTGGAAGGGAGGAAGTAAGTGGGTAGATCCTGCAACACTTGAGGGGAGAAGTCATATAAAGGGGATTGGAGATATTGCAAGTTTTGGATACCTTTTTGTTGAAAATAGGTCTTCATCAAGGAGTTACCTTTAAAAAAAGGAAAAATAAAACCGCTTGGTCTACAAACATTGGCACACGCTTGGCAAGCTGCCAGCTTTTGTTTTGGAAGGGAAAGGGGCTTTTGGACACAAAAATACGGCAAACCATCAGAATTCACTTACTTTAAACTATAAAAAAATGAACTTCATATCCCCACATCACTACAAAGACATTCATTAGTATTTCTACATTCCTAACTTGCAACCATGGAGTCCATGGTTGCAATCCTACACGCCTGCAATATAGTCTCACATTTGATCCATACTTTAAAACCATTGTCACTTGCCATCACACAGCCAAATGACTTATCAGGCATACGTTGCAACGTAAGCATTGTGGGAGGATGTCATAGCCACAAGTGCAAGAAAAGAGGAGACATTCCATGCATCAAGCCACTGTGCATCATTTAGCCCATCAGAAAGTCTTGGGGTCTCATTTTATAGTCAGCCATGTTACTACCATCAGGGACACAGGACACCCCAGAAAATAGAAAAACCACAGATAAATAAAACACTTTTCTTCTTTACTTGAAAAAGCACCTCCCCAGGAATCTCTAGGTCCTTGACGTTGATTCTATGGTCAATGTCTGACAGACCTTGAAGCTGCAAGGCTATTAAATACTAATTAAGGTGGCCAACTGCAACATTCACACCTGCCTCAAACAGACAAGAGTTCTTGCTCCCACCCTGGACATTCCACCCCACTTGCTTAGTTTCTAACAGACCTCATAACCTCTGAGGATGTCTGCCATAGATGCAGGCAAAATATCAGGAGAGAATGCTTCTGGAACATGGCCATACAGCCCGGAAAACTCACATCAATCCATCCATCATGTTGCAAAAGGAGATCAGGTACTAAGACACAAAGGTGTTTTGAACCAGGGACATTCCAGTTCATAGCTTAGTCTCTTATCCATCTAAACCAACTATATTTCTCTACTGCTCTCGTAATCCTTCCATAACAGGTTGGAATACTTATACATACAGTAAGAATTCCACTTTTGCAGGAGCTAGGAGTGAAAGGTCCATCGCAAAAATAGGAAAACTGAAAATTTTAGAAAAGGTATTAGATTTTACTTGAGAGAAGGTCATCTAGGGTGACTCTATGGTCAACCTCTGTCAAAAGTTGGCCACAGAAACATGCTGGAGGTTCTAGAAATTCCTAGACAAGTATCTTAGGCATATTTAGGTCCTCCCTATATGGTCAACATGCACCAGAAGATGACTACAGAATCATGCTGAAAAATTTAAGAGAGACTGTATTAATCAAATTCACAAATAATTAGATCCATACAAATTAAATCCAGAAATGCTGACGGTTGACTGTAGATCCCTGTTTCAAACTGTCAATGAATTGAAAAGGTGGTATGACTCTACGGTGGCCTTCTAGGCCTTGCTGGATTGCAACTCCATCCATTCTTACTGTTGGATCTGCTATCTACAACTGCTAGGACTTGTGGTTCAACATCTGAAGAACTAGTGAACTCATATCCTTATAGTAATGGAATGGGAGCAGCAGTGGACAGCAGAACAAGAGCCATTCATTCAACTACCTCTTACTGCCCTTGTTGTTTTTGAGAGAAAATGCAGTGTCTACCTACCAGAAACTATGTTGCTACTGATTATTTTGCCCCCCAATGTGGCCAGGGACTTGGGGACGACTGTGATGATGCTGCCGCTGGTAGTTTTTACATAAGTGGCAGCCCCTGGAGTGCCTGTCATGCGCGTCCCGATGGATGGGCTGACCGTTGGACGAGTGTAGGTTGCCTGGGTCCCTGATGGGGAAGAGGAAAAGAGAGCAGACCTCAGTGGAACAAATAATAGAACACCAGTGCAGCAAATCATCAGTGGGATATCAGAAAAGCATATCACAAAACAGAAATTCTGGCAGTGTTTGGAAAAATCAATTTCTACAGTCAGTAGCTTATTTATTTCTCGTGTCAGGGCAACCAGTCAATTATATTACATTTCTAACAGAACAAAGCAAACAAACAGACAAAGTACAACATTTGTGAGTTTGGTAGTTGATTAAATTTATTTATTTTTATTTGCTTTATTTCTATACCGCATTTTTCAGCCCAAACAGGCTACTCAATGCGGTTTATGTCCTTTGACCAATATCTGGTCACTTGGAGTGCTTCTGGTGCTGCTAGAAGGTCCTCCATTGTGCATGTGGCAGGGCTCATGTTGCATTGCAGCAGGTGGTCAGTAGTTTGCTCTTCTCCGCACTCGCATGTCGAGGATTCCACTTTGCAGCCCCATTTCTGAAGGTTGGCTCTGCATCCTGTGGTGCCAGAGCGCAGTCTGTTCAGCGCCTTCCAAGTCGCCCAATTTTCTGTGTGTCCAGGGGGGAGTCTCTCATTTGGTATCAGCCATTGGTTGAGGTTCTGGGTTTGGACTCTCTCTTGCTGAGGTGTTCCAGCGAGTGTCTCTATAGATCTTAGAAGACTATGTCTAGATTTAAGTTGTTGACGTGCTGGCTGATACCCAAACAGGGGATGAGCTGGAGATGTCTCTGTCTTGGGCCTTTCACTATTGGCTGCTATTTCCTGGCGGATGTCAGGTGGTGCAATACCGGCTAAGCAGTGTAATTTCTTCAGTGGTGTAGGGCGCAGACACCCCGTGATAATGTGGCATGTCTCGTTAAGAGCCACATCCACTGTTTTAGCGTGGTGAGATGTGTTCCACACTGGGCATGCATACTCAGCAGCAGAGTAGCACAGCACAAGGGCAGATGTCTTCACTGTATCACTGTATTCACTGTAGCAAAATAATATGGCTGCACTATATACAAGAACAAGGTTTCCACAACACAAGGTCTTTTACACTTCCTTCTTTGCTTTCACGCTGGGCTTCTTTCTCATGCAGGTAAAAGGCTCCACGGAGTCTCTTCTCACACTAAACTTACACAGGAACTTCACACAATAGCCTTTTAAACACAGCAGCCTTCACACTGGAGCTTTACACACAAAGCCTTCACCCTGGTGATTCTATCACTGAAGCTGTCTCACACCAGGCCTCTCACACACTGAGGCCGACTAACTCTGAGGCCTACCTCACGCTGAGGCTTACTAACACTGAGGTTTACCTCACATTGAAGCCTTTTCATACTGAGGGCAACTAACACTGAGGCATATTAAGCTACAGACACACCTTATATTGATCTACAGCTTCTACTGAGTCATTGCATCCCTTTAACCCTTTCAGTGCTTGACTCACATTTTTGTAATTAAAAACACCTAGTTAATTTCTAATATTTCTGACAATAACTAGAAGGTAACACATAAAATCCCTGCACTCTCCATCTTGCTAACTCAGCAGAATTTGTACTTGCAGTTGAGGGGTGGGCACTTAACCTGGAGTTACCCTTAAAGAAAGGTAGTAAGGAATTCAAGCAGATCAAGCAAAGAGATCCGGTGTATTTCATGACCTCTGATATCTTACAGCAGCAGGAAAAAGGCACTTACCAGCAGGGGCTGTGACCAGTTTGGTCGTCATGATGGTCCCATTACTGCTCACCACCATAATAGGTGAATTGCTACTGCTGGGCAAGGTCGCCGTGACGGGCTTGGGCAGGATTTTGCTGGGCTGAACTTGCTGGGTTATTATTTTGACACCTAGGAAAGACATTTCCAACAAGAGGTCCATGTTTTTAAGTAGTAGGTGAAAGCCTCCTCTACTCCCAGGCCTATGTAGTCAAATGACTATAACAGCTTTCACCAATAACCCAAACTCACCATCTTCCACCTATAAAAAACACAATCTTTTTTTCCAGGAATCATCATGCATTGATGTGCGCCTCTCAAAATGGATGAAACTGTGAACCTGTGTTATTGAAAAGATCTCTCTGGACTCTAGCTCTGAAATCCTACAATCAGTTCTGATGGAAATGAAGAAAGAAGACATCCTTATCTGTCACCCATCAATTAAAGGGTTTGTTTTCCCATCACTGTGGATGAGCATACTGAAGGAAAGAAAATGAGACATAGCTTTTTTTGTCAGGCCATCTAAGCGAGGGCCACGACCACAACTTCTGACAGGACCTCACAACCTCTGAGGATGCTTGCCATAAATGCAGGCAAAACGTCAGGAGAGAATGCCTCTAAAACATGGCCATACAGCCCGAAAAAACCTACAACAACCCAGGAATCACAGAATTATAGAGTTGGAAGATACCTTGTGGGCCAATCAGTCCAACTCCCCGCCAAGATGGAAAATGGCATTCAAAGCACCCCTGACAGATGGCCATCCAGCCTCTACTTAAAAGCTTCCTAAGAAGGAGCCTCCACCATAGTCCAGTGCAGAGAGTTCCACTGCTGAACAGCTCTCACAGTCAGTTCTTCCTAATGCTTAGGTGGAATCTCCTTTCTTGTAGTTCAAAGCCATTGTTCCATGTCCTAGTCTCCAGGGAAGCAGAAAACAAGCCTGCTCCCTCCTCCCTATGACTTCCCCTCATATATTTATATATGGCCCTTTCATGTCTCCTGTCAGCCTTCTCTTCTGCAGGCTAAACATGCCCAGCCCTTGAGGCCGCTCCTCATAGGGCTTGTTCTCCAGACCCTTGATCATTTTAATCTCCCTCCTCTGGACACATTCCAGCTTGTCAACATCTCCCTTCAATTGCGGTGCCCAGAATTGGATACAGGGCAATTTTAGGTGTGGTCTGACCAAGGCATAAGAAAGGGATGGCAGGACTCCCTATAGCAGGAGTCCTCAAACTTTTTAAACAGAGGGCCAGGTCACAATCCCTCAAACTGTTGGAGGGCCAGATTATAATTTGAAGAAAAAAAACATGAATGAATTCCTATGCACACTGCACATATATTTTTTGTAGTGCAAAAAACACTTAAAAACAATACAATAATTAGAATGAAGAACAATTTCAACAAATATAAAATTATTAGGGAAGTGTGGGCCTACCTTAACTAAATTAACTAATTTATGAGGCAATAAAAAAAGACTCCAGCAAAGCACTCCAGCAAAAAAGGATGCGGGAAATGCGGAAGTACTTCATCAGTGTCCCAGATGGATGAAAGCAACAACTCCCCTGGCGGTCAGAAAAAAGTTAAATAGCCTCTGTGTATGTCTGTATATGTTGTATGTCAAATTGGCATTGAATGTTTGCCATATATGTGTACACTGTAATCCACCCTGAGTCCCCTGCGGGGTGAGAAGGGCGGAATATAAATGCTGTAAATAAATAAATAAATTTTGGCTGATGAGATAGGATTATTGTTGTTGTGTGCTTTCAAGTCATTTCAGACTTAGGTTGACCCTGAGCGAGGGCTGGGTAAATGATCTTGGAGGGCCTCATCCGGCCCCCGTGCCGTAGTTTGATGACCCCTGCCCTAGAGCATTTCTTAATGATAAATAACATAAAGAAACAATCTTGTCGATCCATCTTTTTTACCTGTCTGTTTGTCCTATTATCGTCCCCTGCACTTCCCCACCACTGAGCTCAGCCTTTTCAAGTACCCATTTAGAAGTACCTGATTCTTGCTTGATCTGGATGGTGGGCTTAATGCCTTGTGGGAGGGGAGACTGCTGTGGGGTTGAGGGCTGTGGCTGCGGCTGCTGCTGCAGAGGGGCCGGGGGCTGTGGCTGTGCGGCAGGCGAGGCCGGAGGTAGCTGCTGCTGAGCCTGCTGCTGTAGCTGCTGTTTGGGGGACGGCTGCGGCTGTGCTTGCTGCTGCTGCTGTTGCCTGGGAAACTGTGCTAATATCTGGGTTGGTGTGGCCACCAGGCTCTTGGGGGAAGGAAGCCGAGCCGATGCCACTTTGATAGCCGACGTGCAGACACCTGAAAGGGAGAAACCAGGAAAATCAGTCTTCTTCAAGGGGATGACTAGTACTCTATAAAATCAAAGGCCTTCCATAGAAGATGATGTAAATATGTGGCCTTTCAGCTGGCAGAGACCCCAAAGGCCATTCAGTCCAACCCCATTCTGCTATGCAGGAATGAACAGCTGACAACTCACCCTGTGCTACTGTGGACATAACCACCGATGGCGTTGAAGATACCACAGTGGTCACGGCCACCGTGCTGGGAGTGGAGGAAGGGGTAGAACAGGTCCCGGTGGCGGCACTGGTGGTGGTATTGGTGCTGCTGCTAACCAGAGATGACTGGGAAGCTGTTATGACCACGGGCTGCTTCTGGGTGGTGGAAGTGATGACAGACGTGGGGACAAGTTTGGTGACGGCAGCATAGTTGTGGGACTTGGAGAGGATGTTGGGGACAAAGGTTGAACTGGGAGAGGTGGTTACAATGATTACCTGAAAAAGGAACAATAAAAGCATTTGTTTATCACACTTGGGGAATGCAGGAGTGCTCAATACTACACCACCTTTGTCACTGGGTTGTTGTAGGTTTTTTCGGGCTATATGGCCATGGTCTAGAGGCATTCTCTCCTGACGTTTCGCCTGCATCTATGGCAAGCATAGATGCAGGCGAAACGTCAGGAGAGAATGCCTCTAGACCATGACCATATAGCCCAAAAAAACCTACAACAACCCAGTGATTCCAGCCATGAAAGCCTCCGACAATACCTTTGTCACTGTTTCTAAGGACCCGCTCCAAAACGGACCACAACTATTCACACCACCCGAATGAGGACAATGCTGACTCATGAAGCACTGCTCTTATTTCCAAGTCGTTTTGCTGCAGCACTGTCACATGGCTAACCCCATATCACACCATTCTTTCAGCTGCATTTTTAAAATATCTGTGTGTGAGCCCCCTTGGATTCGAAACTGGCAGACAATGGGACATAAGCGTACATAAACGTGTTGTTGATGGCTTTCATGACCAAAATCACTGGGTTGCTGTGAGTTTTCCGAGCTGTATGGCCATGTTCTAGAAGCATTTTCTACTGACGTTTCGCCCACATCTGTGGCAGGCATCCTCAGAGGCTGTGAGATCTGTTGGAAATTAGGCAAGTGGTATTTCTATATCTGTGAAAGGTCCAGGATGGGAGAAACAACTCTCGTCAGACTATGGAGAGGAGCCACTGAAATCCACAAGAAGCATGTGGACAATTTTTTTTCGCACTTGGCGGGGACGAAAGACAGGGCCTTCTCAGTGGTGGCCCCTCGGCTGTGGAACGCCCTGCCTGCAGATATCAGATCGGCCCCCTCCTGCTGGCATTTCGGAGGGAAGTGAAGACCTGGCTGTTCGAACAAGCATTTGATTAAACAGCGTAATTGAACATAGGAATACGGAATAATGGATGATGAGACTGGATTCTGATTTTACTGTTGATTGTTACACTGATGCTTAATTATTTATGTTACAATTGTTTTTAATTGCCCTATACTTGTCTCGTGATGTTTTGTATTGATGTTGTTCACCACTTTGAGTCGCCTGAGGGCTGAGAAAAGCGGAATATAAATAAAGTAAATAAATAAATAAAATAAATTTTAACAGAAAGGAGGAAACCATGAAAATGAACAAGATCTGGCTACCGGTATTTTAAAAAAGCCTCTAAATTCAGGACAGTAAATAAAGAACAACATCCAAAAAAGCAGAGGAATTCCAGACAAGAATCAATCAGGGCCAGCTAACACTTCCCACAAAGGATTCCAGGCAGGATGCAGACAGTCTTTGAAGCTGCAAGGCTATTCAATGCTAATCAAGCTGGTGAACTGCAACATTCACACTTGCCTCAAGCAGATAAGAGTTCTCCCTCCCACCCTTGACATTCCACAAATACATAAACCTCATTTGCCTAGTTTCCAACAGACCTCACAATCTCTAAGGATTCCTGCCATAGATGTGGGCAAAACACCAAGAGAATGTTTCTGGAACATGGCCATACAGCCTGGAAAACTCACAGCAACCGATAAATAAATGAATTCCTAAAACAGTAAGGGGAAACCTATGGCCTCTCAAATACTGGTGGAGTCCGAATCCCTCAAACTTTGGCACTGCCACAACCTCCTCAATATCAAGACACACAACTTTTATCTTAATGGTTTACAGAAAGTGGAAGAGCGCAGCTGTACAAAGGAGTAAGAACGTAATGGAGAGCAATTCCCACATAACCCAACCTTCTGGGTGCTTGTGTTGGTTGTCTGTGTCGATGGCTTGGTGAAAGTGATCTTCACAGGGGACATGTGGGGCGGCAAGGAATTGGCAATGCTCTGCATGATGCTGCTCATCTTGGGGCTGCCGCTGACAGGCACCGTGATTGTCTTGGTGACAGGCGTGGCAGCCTTCGGGACCTCTTTCAGGAGGACGGGAGAGGAGCTCGAAGAGTTGGTGCGGCGCCTCTTGCGGGGCTTCTCGTCGTCATCTGAGCAGCTCACGCCTGCGATGGGACATCCATACACACACAAGTTAGTGTTGCCACACAGATGCATCACCCTTGGAAAAAGTCACTGCTGTGCTACCCTAATGTTGTTCTTCTTTGTTGCTATTTTCTAAATACAGTGACCTTAAACCCACTGCATGCCATTTTTTGGGGGGCAAGATCCATTTTGAGAATGTTTGCCATTATCTTCCTCCCAAGCCGAGATATTATTACTCAACTGAGGGTTTCAGAGCCAAGTAGGGATTTGAATCCTCATCTCCAAAACTCCTAGTCTAAAACTGAAATCACTACACCAGTGATGGGCAACTTTTTGCGGTTGGTGTGTCAAAAATCGCTAAAAACCTGAGCATAACTTGGGTGGGGTATCACTTCGAGAGAGAAAAACATAATTTAGCAATATTTATAGTTTAAATAAGAAAAATGTATAATCCACACTGAGTTATGGAGTGAACAATGCTCAAATGTGAAGATGTTAAATTTGTAGAGACTTTTACAAATTTAAGGATGGAATTAGTTTGGCTCTTATAAGGTGTACTTCTCTGTATGTGGCCGCATGTTTCTGCATGTCATCAAAAATATCCATGCGTGTCAGTGCTGACACGAGTGTCATAGGTTCACCATCACGGCACTACACTATGCTTCCTTGTCTTTCAATTAATTGTTCATTGCAGAATGAACCCAGTAGCAGTTAGTTCAGTTGGCAGGTGGAAACCACACAAGGTTGAAATACTGTATTTCATTTATATCTAAGTCTAGAAACTTTTGTAAAAAAATTGACACAAAAAGCCCTGTGTTACCTTAACCTATGGTCAGTGTAGGTACTAAACCCAGAACCTCAACCAATGGCTGATACCAAATGAGAGACTCCCTCCTGGGCACACAGAGGACTGGGTGACCTGGAAGGCACTGAACAGACTGCGCTCTGGCACCACGAGATGCAGGGCCAATCTTCAGAAATGGGGCTACAAAGTGGAATCCTCGACATGCGAGTGTGGAGAAGAGCAAACCACTGACCACCTGCTGCAATGCAACCTGAGCCCTGCTACATGCACAATGGAGGACCTTCTTGCAGCGACACCGGAAGCACTCCAAGTGCTCCAAGGACATTTAAGCAACTACCAAACTCACAAATTTTGTATTTTGTCTGTTTGTTTGCTTTGTTCTGTTAGAAATGTAATATAATGGACTGGTTGCTCTGACACGACAAATAAATATTTATTTATTTATTTACTGCATTTACATTTATATCACACCTTTCTCACCCTGACTCAGGGCGGCTGTCAAAAAAGGTACAGCTTGATGCTACATATACATACATAGGATAGAATTAAACATATACATTAAAACCAAATAATTAAAACATTTCAAATAATTTAAAATAAACAGCAGTCTGACGGTTGCCAGCTGATTTTAAAGCAACTGAAACTTTCTTGTAATGGTACCTGCAGCTCAGGTTTCCCACAGTTCCCATGTTCTTTTTGGTCTCTGTCACCAAGAATTTAAGCATGCATTTTCTATTAGTCTTCATCAGGGGAAGTCTTCTTTGTTAATTCTGTGTCTAACGTAAACACCCTTAACCTTTTATTCAGTGTAGACTGTTACTAGCAGTAATCCAGGCTTTTTAATAGCCTTTCAAACAGTTCTTAAGAAACTACTATTCCACCAACTCAGTCTCTAATAACAGCAGCAGCCATGGTTTTTGCTAGTTTACATTCTTTTTGCAAATGTGAGTAGATCAATAGGTACCGCTCCGGTGGGAAGGTAACGGCACTCCATGCAGTTATGCCAGTCACATGACCTTGGAGGTATCTATGGACAGCGCCAGCTCTTCGGCTTAGAAATGGAGATGACCACCACCCTCCAGAGTCGGACACAACTAGACTTAATGTCAAGGGGAAATCTTTATATAACTCAATTCTTCTGAAAAGGAGAGGGAAAAAAAAACATTTATTCTGTTTCCAGGGCTCCTTTTACTCATTGCTCAAGTGGACCACCTATTTCAAATATATTACTCTATTTACAATATTCCTTCACTTTTGTGCAAGAGTAAATCCAAAGAGACTTTCAAAATGTGAATATCAGTTCTGTGGTGCAGCCATCTGAGTGTCAGCGGCATTAAGATCACTTCTGACCACAAGGTCATGAATTCGAAGCCAGTCCGGGTAGGAGTGAGCTTCTGGCCAATTGTGTAGCTTGTTGTCGACCTTGGCAACCCGAAAGACAGTTGCATCTGTCAAGTAGGAAAATTTGGTACCACCTATGTGTGGGGAGGCTAATTTAACAAAATTTACGAGGCCATAAAAAAAAAAGACTCCAGCAAAAAGCATGCGGGGAATGCAGAAGTACTTCATCAGTGTCGCAGATGGACAATGAAAAGCGACAGCTCCCCTGGCGGTCAGAAAAAAAAAAGTTAAATAGCCTCTGACTGTCTGTCTATATCTGTTGTGTTCTTTGGCATTGAATGTTGCCATATATGTGTACATTGTAATCCGCCCTGAGTTCCCTGCAGGGTGAGAAGGGCGGAATATAAATACTGTAAATAAATAAATAAGTTGTAAGGTTATTCCAAGCTAACAACACCACTGCCTGTAATGTTCAGGTCCTTCAGAGCCTGGACTCCAAACATCAATTTTCCCCACAATACTTACTTTTGACGTAAACGGCACTTCCACTTGGCAGGACAACAACATTAGATGCTGGACTGGCGGGCCTGGGGGACTTCACTGTGGCAACACTACCGCTTGGGACTGGGGTGGACGTTGGAGTTGAAGTGGTACTTGTGTAGGAATAGCAAACCACCACTGCAGAGAATGAGAAGACAGAACCTGATACATTAACTGATAAGGGGGAAATGTGGTTTTCTGCTTATGATTTGGATGCAATCCCACCATTCCTGAACAATGGCTATGTTGGTTAGGGCTGACAAGAGCTGCAGTCCAACAACATCTGGGGATGCCCACCTTTGTCTCACAGGTTTCACACTTGTGACAACTTAAAAGTCATGGGTCTCCTCTTTAACAACTTGATTTTAAATTAAAAAAACCTGTCTGTAAATATTTCTTTGCATTCATTAAACACCAGAATACTTTAAATCAGGGGTAGGGAACCTTTGGCCCTCCAGCTGTGGTGGACTTCAACTCCCACAATTCCTTGAGGCTCGGCATTGGGCCAAGGTAAGCCTTTGGGGCGAATGCTGAGCCTCAAGGAATTGTGGGAGTTGAAGTCCACCACAGCTGGAGGGCCAAAGGTTCCCTACCCCTGCAAATGTTCCTCCAGCAACTGTAAGAATATCCCTGGGGGCAGCAAAATCAGACAATTCCAATTGGACGGCCCCCCACAAGGGTCTTCCTCCAGGGGCAAACCAAGAATGAAGTCTCTGAACAGACTCAGAAGTGGAGTGGGCAGATCAAAAGATAACCTGGCAAAATGGCACTACTTAGAAGAATCCTCCACCCTGTGCGACTGTGGAGCAGAACGAACAACTCAGTATCTGAATGCTTGCCCGCAACGTCCTGCCTCATGCACAAAGGAAGAATTTATTTATTATTTATTTCACAGTTTTCTATACCGAGCTTCTCAACCTCATTGAGGGACTCAGCCCGGTTTCCAGCCATAAAAACATATACACTCATTAAAATAACTATTTAAAGCTACAGACAATGCAGTTGCTGTTGCCTGTTTTTTACTAAAACTATTCACTAGTTTTGACTAAAACTATTCTGTTGTTTGTGATCCCTTTATCAGCTTTAAACTTATTTATTTATGCAATGCTTTTGACACAAAATAAATAAGTAACACCAGAGAGTCAAATATATTTTTGCACAATGAAAGAGAAACTTAGGATGCAGGTCTAACATGGATTACTCACACACACCTTAATATTGTCCAAAATCCTCTCAGAGCAGTCAAACCACATCTTCATCAGAAGCAAACCAAGACTGTATCATAGCTCATGCCCCACTGATGAGGCTCACTTTGTTATCTCCCCACTTAAGAAAGTGTCTGGGGCCCCATCTACATTGATAACTGAAGGTAATTTCAAACGAGAATGGAAGAAAACACCTTCTCTGTGGAGATGATTACACAGGAAATCCAGGAACCAGTTTATGGTGATCACATAAACTATAGGGAATACATACACATTAAGGGCTTTCTTTCACTGTTTTGAGGGTTTCTGTGTAGCCACTGCAGGCAAATGGTCAGTGGAGATGGGACCTGGGATTTCTCATTCTACTCCCACACACTTATAATTCTGAGAAAACTACACACAGTTGAACTACATGTCCCTACATTTACTTACAACTCTATTATTCTATGAGAGGCATGGGCAAACTTGAGCCCTCCAAGTTTTTTGGACTCCAATTCCAACAATTCCTAACAGTCGGTACGCTGTTAGGAATTGTGGGAGTTGGGGTCCAAAGTACCTGTAGTGCCCAAGTTTGCCCATGCCTGTTGTATGATAATACCTGGAATGTCACAAGATTACCAGTCTTCCCAGAAGGCTTAATCATGTCCCTTTCACATATTTCAACCAACACTCTCCAATTCTCAAATATCCAAAGAGATGCCAACCTACCCTCACCTTCCTTGCTTGCTGTTTCAGCAGGGGATGGGAGAGAGGCATTGTGTTGGAGAGCTGCATTGGCAACCGCGTTTGCTGTAACCGTGAAAGCTGTCTGGGGAACCAGCCGTGGCATCAGAGGGACCAGCCGACGTCCTTCGATAGACCATTCAGAAGAGCTGTTTGGCCCAGACATACTGAGGAGGAACACACAGTCTTTTAGTGCCTAGTATCCACGTCTGCATTATACTCCCATTAGTCCTTCAAGAAATTCAGTGGGTCACATACTTGGTTCTCCCTACCCATTGTCTTTGTTTACAACTCTGACAGCTAAAAGACATTGCTTGTGCTAAAGTGACCAAGAATTTTTGTAAAAACCAAATGCTTCACCCACTGTGTTATACCATTGCAAAATTGTATTGCTAGGCTATAAACCTGAAACATTAAACATGACCAGGCTGTGATGAAAGTATGACAGAGTTTTAAAGGCTTTAACAAGACCTCTGACTTACTTATGTGCAATTGTCGTGAGTCGCTCATCGTTGACTGCCCTCCGCACTTCAGCTCGATGCCTTTCAGTTGAAATACTGTTGAATAATGCCAAACAATTAGACAAAGAAGTATGAGCTTTTATAGTAAAACTTTTTTTTTGTAATCCAAACCTCAAAAAAAAATCTACCCTTGGGACCCAATGCTCTCTACTGGGACCCCACTACTGCCTACACGGGATATAGATGTTGTGAATTATAGTACAAGAACAATTAGAGGGTGGGATTACACTCTCGGTCAAGATCCAGAATGTGTATTTGTATCTGCAGTTCTATCTATTATTAATCTTTATTTATACCCCGCCTTTCTCCCCGTGGGGACTCAAGGTAGCTAATAACAAAGGAAGAGGCTCATGGCTGCTCTCTCCTTCACTACCAATGGAAGACAACCACTCAGCTTTCAATGAAAAACAGCAAGTATAATAAACCAGCTTTTTTTTTTGCATTGAGTTATGTTTTTAATTTTAAGCTGTCTATTATTATAGCTCTTTTAATTCTGAGACAGCAATTCAGAACATGAACTACCAAACCTCAAACAAATCCCTTACACTGACATTTAGCCATATTATATTTTAAACATTCCTAACTTGGCTTCGCTGCAGAGTTCTCTTCCTAAGGAATGGATTGTGTTGTTGACCAGTACAAGAAGCTTGATTTACCTAAGTACTTTGGAGAGTTCTCCAAGGAGGTCTTTCTTCTCCTTCGTAAGATCCCCCTGTGCTCGCAAGGCACTGATAACCCCGGCATAGGCCTCCAATTCTATAAAAAAGAGACGGAAAAGAAAGGTTGAAATTAAGAACACCACTGAGTAAGGAAAAAAAACTACTATATATACTCAGTTATAAGCCTACCTGAATATAAGCCAAGGCACCTAATTTTACCACAAAAAACTGGGAAAACGTATTGACTCGAGTATAAGCCGAGGGTGGGAAATGCAGCAGCTACTGGTAAATCTATATAAATAAAAATGTAATGTTCGTTTGTGGGATTAACAGAACTCAAAAACCACTGGACGAATTGACACCAAATTTGGACAATACACCTAACAACCCAATGTATGTCCTTCACTAAAAAAAAAAAATGATTTTGTCATTTGGGAATTGTAGTTGCTGGGATTTATAGTTCACCTACAATCAAAGAGCATTTTGAACCCCACCAACGATGGAATTGAACCAAACTTGGCACACAGAACTCCCATGACCAACAGAAAATACTGGAAGGGTTTGGTAGGCAGTGTCCTTTGGTTTTGGAGTTGTAGTTCACCTACATCCCGAGATCACTGTGGACTCAATTAATAATGGATCTGGACCAAACTCTACATGAATACTCTATATGTCCAAATGTGAACACTGGTAGAGTTTGGGGAAAATAGAATCTTGACATTCGGGAGTTGTAGTTGCTGGGATTTATAGTTCACCTACAATCACAGAGCATTGCGAATCCCACCAACGATAGAATTGGGCCAAACCTCCCACACAGAACCACCATGTGGGTCACAGCAATGCGTGGCAGGGGATGGTTAGTTTCAAAATAAAAATAGATACATTAATTACATTAATTGAGGCATCAGTAGGTTAAATGTTTTTGAGTATTTACATAATTTAAGATAAGAATGTCCAACTCTGATTAAACTCTTATTCTAATCTTCTTCAATATAAATGTACTTCTGTATCTTTCCAATCATAATAGAGTAAAATAATAAATGTAATTAAAATAATAATAGAGTAAAATAATAAATGTAATAAAAATAATACTAATAACAGAAAAATAATAAATAACCTTGACTCGAGTATAAACTGAGGGTAACTTTTTCAACTTAAAAAGTAGGCTGAAAAACTAGGATTATACTCAAATATACACAGTGACAGTAGAATCTGCTGCCTCAGAGTATGATGGAATATGCTTCTTTGGAGGCTTTTAAAAAGAGCTGAGTGGCCATTGGTTGGGAGTGCTTTGACCATGTCTTCCTTTGTGAAGAAGAGAGAAGGATGGCCTTGGGGGACTCCTCCAACTCTATGTTTCTGTGATCTGCTACTGGAACCTCTTAAACAGAAATATGAACCTGGCTTGCAAACATGCGATTTGTCATCACACAGTGACAATGCTTTCCTAGTACGAAATAAGAGTTATGAAGGTTCCTCTGAGTCCAACATACAAATCCATGAAAGAGGCAGCTTGCTGTTCCTTTGTAAGAGTCATTGGCTTGGAATCTTCCCTTTCAAGTCAGCCACATCTGGAAGTGATCAACCAGACACAGTGTTGTACTAAATGCAACTGTAATGGTCAATTCCAAAGCAGTAGGATTACTAACCCTTACGGGAAGTTGCCAGTGGCTTACTCAATGCTGCCATAGGTTTCAGCACTTCCCCAGTCAATTCTCTTGGGAGATTTATTCCATCATACCTGGAGACAACTAGGTTGTGAAGGACTTCTCTAACACAACAGAAGAGGAATAGTTTCAACCAGCACTTTAAAAGGTACCTGGCAACTGGGGTTCGAAGACTTGGCACTTAGAATTGTTAATATGAATTATTCTTGTTACACTGACAGGTCAAAAACACTCGAAATTAATCTTCAAGACACAGATTTTATATACATACTAGCTGTACCCACCACACATTGCTGTGGCCAACCTTCCCTCTTTCTCTCCTTCTTTCCCTCCTTCCTTCACTCCCTCTTTCCTTCCTTCCTTCCTTCCTTCCTTCCTTCCTTCCTTCCCATCTTTCCTTCTCTTCTTCCTTCTCTTTTTCCTTCCTTCCCCCTTTTTCTTTCTCTTCTGCTGTCTCTCTCTTTTTCCTTCTCTCTTTCCTTCCCTCCCTCTTTCTCTACATCTCCCCCCTTCCTTCGCTCCCTCTTTCCTTCCATCTTTCCCTTTTTTGCTTTCCTTCTCTCCTTTCCTCTTTCTCCAACTTTCCTTCCTTCTGCTTTTCTTTCCCTACATCTTTCTCTCCTTTCTTCTTTCTCTACCTCTTTCCTTCCTTCTCTCTTGGCTTCCATGTTTCCTTCTCCCTTTCCTTCTTTCTTTCCCTCCCTCTTTCTTTCTTTTTTCCCTCCCATTCTCTCCCTCTTTCTTCCCTTTTTTCTGTATTGCCATTTAGCTTTTCGTCATTTACTTTTTGGGGCTTTTTAAGTCCCTTCTGCTGTGTTTTTCAGTGTTTTTTATGAGTGAAGGACATACATTGGGTTGTTAGGTGTATTGTGTCCAAATTTGGTGTCAATCCCCCCAGTGGTTTTTGAGCTCTGTTAATCCCACAAATGAACATTACATTTTTATTTATATAGATGCCAGAAGCAGTTTGCTTAAAGATCACTGTTATTACCCTGAACACAGTCATTTCTGATTTAAAAAGCTGAAGAGGACAATAGATGGTGAGTACAGTACCCATCCTGGGGTTACTATTAAACCATGTTTAACATCTATTACTGTTTTAAGTGGGATGAACAACTAAGTTGGGGAGGGGGTAGGTTGCAGAGGAAGTTTCAAAATTTGAAAGAACTTAAACATTTAAGTAGATAAAGCTGCTTAAGCATTTCCCAAGAGGCTTTTGAGGCTTTATTTGCAATTCAACAGTACAGCTGATAACATCATTAACAACAGCATGTGGTCAAAAATGCAGCCAGGCAGTCCAAACAAAAAAAATGGAATATCATTTTCTGAGCAAACATAATGTTCAGATATACCATATTGCATGGTTTCATAGCATTTACAATATTTTATTGCAATGAGCAAATGTCAAACTAAATCTTGCTCTTTTGAATACTGGACAGATGAACCAAAATAATTTCGATCTGTATAGTATACAAAAACAAGAACTTTGAGATCAGGGATAGAGAGACAATTAACAGCATATACAGCACAGTACACAGTAACTCCCCCACCCCAAAAAACCCAATACATTGCAAAAAACCACTCCTCCAAGGACACAAGACATGAATACATGAAAGCAAAGCATTCCATTACCTCATTTTTCATTATTTTCCAAGGAATATCAATTTGAACAGCATGGGAATTATATTTTGCTAGTGCCCACAAGGTATTTCTTTGCTTATATTACTTTCATGTCAACTTTATTTTAATTAAATAATATTTGGGGTGGGGGTGGGGTGCTGGACCACTTCGCATTGTGGGAAAGTGAAACCACAGATACAGAATCTGCAGATATAGGGGTCTTACGGTATTTGAATGGGAGACCATGAAGGAATAATACAAGGGAGGTCCATAAAAGGTTAGGAAAGATCTCTACCTGAAAGTGTGGTCCGACATTACTACCAGTCAGTCAGCAGAATCAGAGCATTCATGGGCCAATGGTCTCAAGCACATGCCAAAGGACAAAGACTCTGGCCCAATAGGTTCTCCTCAACATACCCAGTTTACGAAGGACCCTTTTGCATTCATCCCTGCTGAGATCCAGAAGGGTCGGCCACACGACAGGCATCCTTCCTCCACTGATGTGCTCCCACAGAGCTCAGGCTCCCTGAAAACACAAGATACAAGAGAGAGAGTGAGGGAAGATTTCTATTGCAGGCTCTTTTGAAGACTTAAGCACTGAAGCAGTAACACCCACATGCACTGCTCAAATAACTAAAGAATAACTGAGCTTTTTCAAAACCATCAGTTATTGAAGTCTCAGCATATGATGCTATGCTGTGAACGGAAGGAAGAGGACTATGGACAAGCTGAGCACACCCAAGGCAGAGTTTGTTATCGCGAAAGATAATTTTGAAGAGACAGCAATTTGTGACTTTTCAGTTGTTGCCAGATTGCAAATGCCACCATCTCCTCATCACTACGTATGCCGAGCAGGTCCGATCTGAGCTGCAGTTCAAAAAATCTGGAGGACACCAAATGTCCCATTGTGGCTCTGCAACGTTAAAAACTGGAATTAGGAATTGTTTTGGGGAGTGTCTGAGACTGCAAGGATTCTATGCTTTGCTTGCATCTTTCAACTGCATCAATATTAGCCGGCAACACTACACATTTCATTTTCACAAATGTGGAAAATTAATTTGAGGATCGATCAAGTGTTCTGATTTAACATTCTGCCCAGGTACCTTGAAGAGGAGGTCTCATAGGTCATGAACCAGCATTAAAGAAAACAATAATAATAATAATAATAATAATAATAATAATAATTTATTTATACCCCACTACCATCTTCCCAAGGGACTCAGTGCGGCTTACATGAGGTCGAGCCCAAAATACAACACAAGCAATAACAACAAAAATAACATAATTTAAAAACAACAAAACAACATAAACATTACCAATAGGACAACACACTTTTAAAACTATGGGTAGGCCAAATGTAATTAAACAATTTTTTTAAAAAAATTAAAAAAAAATTTTAAAAAATAAGGCAATAACATAACATCTCACCCTCACCAAAAGCAGGCACAGTCAATAAAACATCACAAATCTTAACTGTCATACATCAGAATGGGATCTATTTATTCCCCACAGTCACATTTTGACATAGATTTCACATAGAACTAGCTTTCCAATATATTAACACTGAAAACTGAATGTCTATAGTTTATTTTTTATGACATTTATATGCCGCCCTTCTCACCCCGAAGGGGACTCAGAGCAGCTTACAAGATATATATACATACAATATATTATACTATTAGCATAGTACAATATCAGCAATATATATTACTATATTGTACTATACCATTATATCATAATATTATTAGTAATATTACATATACAACAAAATATATAATTATAATACCATATTATTAGTAACATTATATTGTATTACATTATATTATACATATATGTATATACAGTATATTATATTAATAGCATAGCACAGGAGACAAGGTGGAACTGTACCCTGGTCCCCTTTCTCTTCACTCTGACCCACTGAAACAGTTGGTGCTGATGGGAGGGGTTAACAACTGATTACATATGGAGGAGACAAGATGGAACTGTCCCCTAGCCCCCCTTCACAATGGCCCAGAGCGGCAGTTGGTGCTGGGGAGAAGGGGTCCCTAACTGATGACATACGCAGGAGACAATATGGAACTGTCCCCTGCCCCCCCTCTCTTCACTCTGGCCCAGAATCATAAAGTTGGAATAGACCACAAGGACCATCTAGTCCAACTCCCTGCCATGTAAGAACGAACAATCAAAACACTCCCAACAGATGGCCATGCAGCCTCTGTTTAAAAACCTCCAAAGAAGGAGACTCCACTGGACTCCCAGGCAGGATATGCCACTGAACAGCTCTTATCAGCAGACACTTTTCCTAATGTTTAGGTGGATCTCTTTTCCTAGGAATCCATTGTGTCTCTAGAGAAGCAGATAGCAAGCAGGCCTCCTCCTCAATATGCCATCCTTACAAATACTTAAACTTGGCATTCAAGTCCTCTTTCAATCTATAATAAATTCTATCCAGTGGTCATGTAGGGATCTTTAAAAAAAAAAAAAAAAGACAAGTGGCTGCTTGATTAAATTTTTTTGTTTCCTTGTGCTGATGTACTGTATTGGAGTAACAAAAGATTCCCATAGTATTTTTCAGGGAACCATGTCATGTAGCAGAAGTGACATGCAGATTCAAGAAATGTCGGTACAGCACAATCCCCATACCTGCAGAACTGGTATCGCAAGTTTCTATTAGTAGCATCCCCCCCAAAATCTTTTGTCTAGGTATTTTCTACCCCCTTGGGGAAATTCAATAGTATGCTTCCAGTGGAAGTTACTACAGTCACGCTAGCAGACCTAGAACATTCTGGATCAGGACATATCTCTCTAGGAATTTTCTAGGTCCCATGGGGCAATTCCATGGTAACCTCCAGCAGAAATTTATTTATTTATTTTATTATTTATTAACTTTACTTATACCCCGCTAACATCTCCCGAAGGACTCGGTGCAGCTTACAAGAGGCCATGGCCCAACACATCAATAAAACAACAGCATAACAATACAACAGTAAATAAACTCATAAAGCAAAGCAATAAACATTAAAACAATAACAATAAGCATTACACAGTAAGACCACGACGCATTTAAAAACTGAGGCCGGGTCAAATGTAATGGATAAAATTTAAAAAATGCTGGACATGACAGGTGAAATGGATAGGTTTTTGGAGATAGGTGCGATGTGCAGACAATCTTAAATCTCTAGTTAAGTGCATTTGGGACATGATGCTAGGAGTTTCCTCATGCCATAGAATTATCTGGAGGACCTAAAAAGGGAGACAACATATTCTGTCAGATGAAGGTAGATTCAACTGTAGTTATCAGTCCCATGGGTTATATTGTATGTGACAAAATAAGTCAGCTCCTGTCATTTTCACTGACCAACTTTTGAAAGCCACTTTTGAAAGTCAGTACTATACAGAGGATATCACACACACACACACACACACACACACACAAAGACTGGTCAGTGGTAAGAACATGAAAGAAACGTCTGCTCTTATTGAAAGAGAAAGGCTGAGGTTCTAAGAAGACTGAACAAAATAGTATTGCTGAATGATGTTCAGAAAATGGGCTGATGGGTTATTATTCCCTTCAATGGCCAACCACATACCTGTGGAAAACTCATACGCAGAACACATATGGATTTTTATCTCAGACCATATTATTCTTAGCAGAGAAGAGAATCAAATTTCAGACTTTTATAGCTCTGTACTTATTCACAACATGAATGAGTGCTCCTTCATTTTGGGAATATCAAACATTTACACTGTCCGGTTTCAGAAAGGAAGTATGACAGCAACACCAAAATCCTTCAATGAATAAAGGACAGGGGCTTATGACATTTTAACACTACCCCTACAAGGAAGACAAAGAAGTTAAGGCAAAGTGTTTATACCAGCATCACAAAACCAAGTCATAAGTGAGATTGCGGAAATGAGTATAAGATGCATTATATATGATTAATTCATATCAAGCAAACCTCAGGCTTCCACATGGTCTCTTCCCTCCAATGAAACTGGTTTCATCGAACCATGGTTTAACAATACATCCAAACAATTAGCAAACCATGGGTTGCACTGGCCCTCCAAAATTAGTTTGTTGCTATTGTGATATTGACAACATATATCCCACCCTTAATTCAAGAAATTTGTGTTGGCACACCCAGCTGGTTTCCTTTTTTGGAAAATAAAAGACAATCACTTCTTTAAGATCTAATGCAGTGCAATGTAAGTATAAAGTGATGCACATTTATGGAGAAATATCCTATATTGACATATATATATATATAATATATATATATATTGACTTCCGTACAGTGGCCCTTATTTCTCATGCCAGTAAGGTAATGCTCAAGATCCTGCAAGGAAGACTCAAGCAAGACATGGAGAGAGAGTTGCCAGACGTTCAAGCTGGGTTTAGAAAAGGCAGAGGAACGAGAGACCAGATTGCCAATATCCGCTGGATAATGGAGAAAGGCAGGGAGTTTCAGAAAAACATCTACTTCTGCTTCATTGACTATTCTAAAGCCTTTGACTGTGTGGATCATAATAAATTGTGGCAAGTTCTTGGTGGGATGGGCATACCAAGCCACCTTGTCTCTCTCCTGAGGAATCTGTACAAGGACCAAGTAGCAACAGTCAGAACAACAGACTGGTTCAAGATTGTGAAAGGCGTACGGCAAGGCTGCATCCTCTCACCCAACCTTTTTAACCTGTATGCAGAACACATCATGCGATGTGCGGGGCTTGAGAAATGCAAAGCTGGGGTGAAAATCGCTGGAAGATACATTAACAACCTCAGATATGCAGATGACACCACTCTGATGGCCGAAAGCGAGGAGGAGCTGAGGAGCCTTCTAATCAAGGTGAAAGAGGAAAGCGCAAAAGCCGGGTTGCAGCTAAATCAAAAAAACCAAGATTATGGCAACAAGAATGATTGACAACTGGAAAACAGAGGGAGAAAACGTGGAGGCCGTGACAGACTTTGTATTTCTAGGTGCAAAGATTACTGCAGATGCAGACTGTGGCCAGGAAATCAGAAGACGCTTACTTCTTGGGAGGAGAGCAATGTCCAGTCTCGATAAAATAGTAAAGAGTAGAGATATCAGACTGGCAACAAAGATCCGCCTAGTCAAAGCCATGGTATTCCCTGTAGTCACCTACGGATGTGAGAGCTGGACCTTAGGGAAGGCTGAGCGAAGGAAGAGAGATGCTTTTGAGCTGTGGTGTTGGAGGAAAGTTCTGAGAGTGCCTTGGACTGCGAGAAGATCCAACCAGTCCATCCTCCAGGAAATAAAGCCCGACTGCTCATTGGAGGGAAGGATACTAGAGACAAAGTTGAAGTACTTTGGCCACATCATGAGGAGACAGCAAAGCCTAGAGAAGACAATTATGCTGGGGAAAGTGGAAGGTAAAAGGAAGAGGGGCCGACCAAGGGCAAGATGGATGGATGGCATCCTTGCAGTGACTGGACTGACCTTGAAGGAGCTGGGGGTGGTGACGGCCGACAGGGAGCTCTGGCGTGGGCTGGTCCATGAGGTCACG